AGAGTCAAAAGCATAAATTTCAGACAGAAGTCTGTGGTCACAAGGATACATAAACTCACCCTAGAACCAGGGTGGATCGATTATACAGCATTCATTTTTCACAATAAAAAAGGGTGAACAAGATTACATTTTTTGGAATTTGGAATCCACACAGGGTCAAATGTACATACAAGCTCAAATACATGCAATAAAATCTTTTGATAAGTGGTACGGAAGGTTCTACAATATCTTTTAAAATTATAAGGCTTATTAACTAAATGTTAAAGATCAAGATTGACTACAACTGGTAGTTACTCTTTGCCAGAATTAAAAGCATTTGCTTGATAGCACTCATTGGAATGACCAACACTCAGAACATTGAGAAAGTCTAAGGAACTCGGTGAAAAGCTAAGGAAATTTGTAGATTTTTACAGGGCGGAAATGGCTCTAGGAACCATTTCTAATCAGCTGCAGATTCCAAGATTATCAGTTTAAACCACTGTGTGTGAATATTTGTATGTGTCACTATTTTATTAAGGTCTGGAAGAAGACAGAAACTGTCACCCATCAGATGAGAGGTTCCTGAACATCTTAACCAAAGCCTGCCATGAACTGGAAACTGCTGGAACACCAGTGTCCCTGTCCACATTGAAGTGAGTTTTACATCGCTGTGGACTGAGAGTGTGCTGACCAAGACACAAGGTCTTGCTCCAAAATCAACACCTTCGAGCTCGACTGAAATTTGCAGCTGCCCACATGGACAAGCCAAAGGCTTTCTAAAGAAATGTTTTATGGTAAGGCCACACAAAGACTCACATGTTTGGCCACAGTTGCTAAAGGTCAGCTTTCAAACCTGACAATATGGTACCAACTATCAAGCACGGTGATGGTAGAATAGAATGGATAAAGCAGGCTGACATTAAGCTTCTGGAATAGCCTTTGAAAGTCCCAAACTCAACCCTACTGAAAATGTGTGGACTATGTTAGGAAATCAACCAATTAAAATGACCAAGAAGAGTGGTCACATATCCAGCTACTATTTCCAGAACCTTGTTGATGTCTGCCAAAATTGGTTGGTTGAGGTGCAGTTTGCATTAAACTAAATATAAGTGGGGATGCCTGTATATTTTTGACCTTGAGTGGATTACAGAAAATCCATAATAAATCTAAACATTTGCACCTAATTCTTGTTTTTTTTTTGAAGTCATCAAAGATCTAAGCTGTACACCCTGGAAAAAGAACAGCTCAAAGAATTCAATAAAAACCCCAAATTACTGTGACATTCATGTAAATGATAAATGTATGTAAACTTCTGACTAAAACATGTTGTTTGGAGAGTCAACATTTGTTTGCACCTCAAAACACAAACCATGAATGCAGTTTCTGTGCAGCTATGGATCTTTGTATTTCTTGTCGCAAACTGAATGCTGTCTCTTGATTTAAACAGCCTAACCAGAAGAAGAAATTTACAATTATTACCAATGTTTGCATTGTATCCAGCCTCAACAAATGTTATAGAAACACATTTGTCCAGAACACTAAACCTTTCCCCTAAAAAAGGAAGTCAAAATATGAGTGTTAAGTCAAGCATCAAAGTACGTACCAAGCCCCCGAGACTAGATTTGCACATGTAATAGAGAACTGACAAGACTAATTACAGACAGAGCTGTTTTGACAAGACTAGTGTGAAGTGTAATAAGTCTTCCACAAGTCTTCTGAGAAGTGACAGGTTAGTACTATATGTCAGAATGCTGGTATATAAAATGCCATATGAACAGCAGCTGAATACATGAATTACCATATAGCATTAGGAATGAAGATATATATCAACAGCGTTCAGCCATCAGGGTCTTCTCTTGTGTAACAAACTGCTAGTTTAAGAGACATGCACCCTCTTGGAGTTGTTCCTCCCTTATCTCAGTTATGCTGCTTCAGGCTCCTGCTGCTGTGGGATCTCCCACTGCACCTCTCCTCTACTCTTCAGTCTTCATATTTATTGACTCTGTGTCCACTCTGTGCTTCCTCTGTACATTTCTGTACATAATGCTTGTCGTGAAGTTGCACATTTCTAACCTGCTGACCAACCTTCTGTGGCCCACACAACACTAAACACAATACTTTTAACATAGCTGTAATGTATGTTTGTTGCTGCCACGCCAGATATGACATTTTAATCATGAGTTTGATTAAAAATGCTAGTTTTAACCTTTGTATTGAATTAATTAGTTTGTGTCTCCTCTCCAGGCTGTACTTAGCTTCCATCTGGTTTGGACCTAGGAGCTGCTAAATCAGTCCAGGCCCTTTTGAGCACTTCCTTTGCAGTGGTGGGGGGTGGGGGATCGTATTTCAGGGATTTTCAGATTATAATATCTGCTTTTACTCAAATATATTTTGGTTTGATTTTCTGCACTTATATTTTAAAGCTTTAGTCTACTGTTGGTGATAAACTGTGTTGTTATAAGTCATACTATCCATACTATCCAGTATTATATGGTATATGCAATGAAACCATTAGGAGCTGCAGCATTGAAAGGATATACATGAATACATTTATAATTATGATCAGTTAATATCATGTGTATTTTGTATATAAATAATATGTATATGTTAGTCTGACAAGCGTCACTCCACATAATGAGCACTTTTACTTTCGGCACTGGACAACAACCACAGATAAACAGACTTCATGTAGTTAAAGTACACAGTTTGCCTCATGCTATGCTCAGGACAGTAGGAGCAAACAGTTCCTATTGCAACAACTTTTTTTTTTTTTTTTTTTTTGTGGGAGTAGATCATCCAGGAGAACACTGGACAGTCAGTCAGCAGGTGGAGTTTTACTCACTCCCAGCTGGATCATTGCTGCTCAGACCGAGGCTTGCACTACGGCAGCATCAGCTCTCCTTTTTATTAATGGCATGACCATGACCATGACATGCCCCAGCTCAGGTAGCTCCGGCACCATCTCTGACATTCTGATAAAGGTCAATGTGATAAATAAAATAAAATGAAGCTAAATGAAGCTTTTTTTAAATTTTTTATTTTTTAAGAGCATCCAAGACCCAAAATAGAATTATCAAGTATCACATTCCAGGATTTATTCCATCTCATGAAGACTCTCAACAATGTTGAGTATTTGAGAACTGAAATGTAATTTTCTCTTCAACCCTGTTACCTACTCTTGGTTTCATTAGAAATGAATGGTGCCACAGTCTCAGTCTCCCCGCTCTGTCACTGACACACACGCACACATACTGATCCACTAATTAGAGTTGGTCTTTTCATAAACTCAACATGTTGATATCATCTGATCAAGCAGACATCAAAGACTTTGTAATCACATGCCAGACTCTCTGAGCACACCAAGCTGTAAATATTTAAGAGGATATCAAACTTGACTCACTTATTGAGTTGAATGAACTCAAAGTCCTAGTTTCTAACATTTTAAAGTGTGCATTCCAAGTTAGCATAAGTCTGTAAGGACATATTTTTTTTCAAGTCCTAGTCTAACTTTTAGTTGCATTCATACATAAGCGAAGGACATATTTTTATGATAAAGATCAGCACAGAATAAAGTATGTGCTCATTATGTGCTGAAAGACATTTGTGTTGAAACACCATCTGCTGGATTGAATGAGTCCATCATACCCAGAGGACCAATTAATTCATGTCAAATAGTTTCATGAGCGCTGATGACCTGGCTCTGGAAAACAGGTCCATCCAATCAGGGCACAGCCACACAAACTTACCAAACAATATAAAATTATTTTTTCCCCATATGTTATTCAACAAAAAATGAAAAATTCTTTCACTTCTTATGTCACACTAGAATTAAAAATCTGACTCTACAGCTGACAAATCGGCCCCTGTCTAATTTAGTCAAGGCCATCTGTGCTTCTTACTGTACTTTACACTCAACCGCCAATTAACTGTAAGAAACTGTTTGTGTTTCAGGAGATGAAAGGGATTCACACATGAGGGCTGCATGTGTGTGCGGGAGGTTCGATTATTGCCAGATACTTTGGGAGCAACAGCTGGAAACACTGTTAAACTACTAAAAACCACACTATGGGTGTGAAAATGAGGCAGGGTCAGATAAACGGTTCGACCATCTCCACTTCACCTGCAGCAAACATATGGGAGTAGGGGGAAGGCACATGGGCAGTTCCTTATATCGTGTATCAGCAAACTGAATTTCATCACCATTTCTTAAAAACATGTGCAATAATGTCAACAAGTTGTACTTTCCTGCCATAAATCATTAAAACGCTAACACATTTTTTGTTCAGTATAACTGTAATTTGACATCTTAATCAAAAAATGAAATAATAATAAAAAATATTGTTTACTGTTATTAAATAGTTAATTACATTGTTTTTTTAAGATTTAGCATTAAAAAATAACATTTTGATTAAAGATCTTGCACATACTGATGGATTACTATTACAGAAACCTATTTAAAAAGATTTAAGAAAAACTTTATTGAAGACTTAAGAGAATATAAAACACTTGTTCTGCATAAAATGTGATCCCTGTGTTTGATGTACAGTATAATATCTCTTTCTAGTAACCTCTTTTGTGTGGCTATTAGAAACTCGCAGATATGTCAGATCTTTAAAGGGGCACAAGTCAGAAATGTTGGAAACCAAAGGTCTGAATTACATCAAAAAATCCTAACTAACTAACTAGCAGCCCAATTTTGCAAATAAATGCAGTGGAACGGGAGGATAAAGTTGCATAAAATGAAAAGTTAAGTACCTTAAAACTGTAAATCTAAATCTGGTAATTCAGTTAATGTTCTTTCCACTTATAATAGTAAAAATAAATTGCCAAGACAAACTGATACATCTAATGCAGACCAACTGATGCTGACCTGTGCCAAGAATGAATGAAAACTGTATCAACAGCAACCTCTCCTGACAGTTTCGGTAAACTACAGCCAATCATTTTAAGCACGTGTTAAACAAAGGGGTGTGTGTAGTGAGTGGGGGCATGGCCGTTTATATTTTATTTCATTGAGACTTCTTGTTGGTATGGGGGAGTATTTGCTTTGGGTGTGAATGGAAAATGCCTGTTGTGACATACATGGTTATAAAAATATAACCATACACGTGAAACAGGTTTTCAAGTGAAGTTTCTGTTTTGTGGTGAAACAGAAACTTCTATAATGAACACGCGTTTCGTAGCCTTAACTGTACCAATTTAGAAATATTATAGCACATGTAATGGTGAGTTCTTTCACATAAGGAAGATTTTGTGCTTAATGCTGTTTTATTGCTGGGGCAGATGGGCACAGATGTTCTCTGTGATATTTATTGATTGTGCAGGTTTGGTTCTCAACATGCACAGCTGGCAAAATCTCACAAAATGAATATCTGTGTGTAGGTTACTGTGTTTATAGCATGAAAATATTTAAAATCTCAATAGTTGATTAACTTTTCTGATGTCGTAAAATAAAAAAGCTCCTAGAATGAGACATTTTTTGTATAATTACATGACAGTACATTTAGAAAAAGACTGAACAGTATGGTTTATTTGGAGTTGTTTCTGAACAAGCCACAAGACCTCTGTAACAAAGTCCTTTGAACAGATGAGACCGAAATGGAGTTGTTTAGCAATATTGCACAGCAATATTTGTTGACAACACCAATCCATCCATCCATTTCAGCTTATCCAAGGGGGGCTGGAGTCTATCCCAACAACATGAGGGTGAGATTGGTGAAAACATATCAATACAAACACCTCATATTAACTGTTAAGCATGGAGGGGGAGGGGTGATGATTTGGGCTTATTTTAAGTATATCAGTTATGGGAGCCTTGCATCCCATTATCTCTGTATACCAAAGTGTACTAGAGTGAAATTGAGGCCATCTGTCGCCAATAAAGCCTGGCCAAAATTGGGTAAGTGCAAACTACAATCCCAAGCCAAGCCAAATCTACAACAGACTGGCTAAAAAAGAGAAAAGAATAACGGTTTTCCAGTGGTCTAGTCAAAGACCAGAACTCAACGTGAATGAAATACTGTGTCGTGACCTTATGAGAGCTGAACATAAATAACTGCTCACAAACCTCAAAAAGTGAAGGAACTCTGTAAAGAAGAGTAGGTCAAAATCTCTTCACAATTTCAATTTCTTATGTGAAAGACTGACGGAATCAAACAGAAAATTATTATTTCAGGTTATTGCTGATAAAGATGCTTCTAAAGTAACTGAATCAAACGTTGTTTTTCCACATCCTGCACAGAGCCCCATGAAAGCTTTTTGTCCACATATATGTAAAAAAGATGAACAACAATAAGCTATATGAGCTTAGAATTTGATTTCCTTAACCTCGCACATGTTATTTTAAAATGCGTGTGAATGTTATGTCCAGCACAAATACAAACATAAACATTAGAACAGGAATAAACACACATGCAGACTTTGATTTGGTTCTGCTGACGTATTTATTTATTTATGAAGCTATATTATTACTAAATTAAATAGAAATAAATTAGATGGGAATTTACATTACATGACCACAAGTATTATATTCAACTATTCTAATACTAAGCAGTAGCACCTGGTAAGTAAACTCATTTTTATTGTACTTCTGATCCAAAGTAAGGAAATGTAACGATAACTTTGCTGACAGATTATCTTGCTGAAAACGACCTAGTTTACTGGAAACTTTTCTAAAAATGTTTAAAATGTAGTACAAATGCTGTAAAAACTTCATCGAAGCCATCAGGAGTTGTGCTTGAAATGTACTGTTTGAGGTAGCCATGTTGATCTTGCACATGTTGCGCTCAGCTGTACTGAATCAAATACTCTGGATATATTTGATTTGGATCAAAAATGACAAAAATTCTAGGATGATTGACAACATCAACACAGCTGTCATGCAAGTTTTCGGGATTCTCATGATCGGGTTTTTGAAAATCAGGTTCTCCAGCAATTGGATTTCCAGTCATCACCCGAGCCAAAAATATAATTTTAGAGTGTACAAGTTGTGCTTTCCCACCATAAACTGGCAGTGGTTCCAAGCTGCTCTTACTGTATACGTCGGCTAATGCTGCATGTTTGGCAAAATAAATTCCTACGTAAAAAAAGAAACTTAGATCAGCTGAGAAGAAAAAAGACAGAAGAAATGGTAAAGAGTTAGAAATTCAGATTTGCACAAAACAATGAACTTACCTTTGCCAAATACGTGGGCATGTTGTCCAGCTAACCGTACATCAAAGTTATACTTGCAAATATAATCCACATTTTTAATATCAGTCCCATGAAAGAGTTGTTTCTCTTGAATTTCTTTGATGCCTTGAATCCTCATCAGCTGTTTCTTTTTCCTTTATGCAAATATAAAAATAATGGTAATAATGAAAAGAAATTATTAACAAAAAACATAGTGTAAAACTTAACTTACCTGCAATATAATTCCCAAAGATCCAAATTCTGTATCCTGTTGATTGACAGAATGGTTCTGTCCAACAGCCCATCGGTCTTTACATAATGTTTCACTGTCCAATACTCGGGGGAGTGCTCACTCAGAGGGATTAACTTTAAAAAGTATCAGAAATCAGTTATTGCTGAAATATCTGCGGTTTTAATCTATGCTTCTAACTGTATTGTATATTTGTGCTCTAGCTGTAGATATTTTGGACATTAAGTAACATTTTTGTCACCTGGTATGGCGATTCCGGATCAAACGATTCCCAGAAAACAGGAGCGAGGCTGAAACAGGAACACCTGCGGGAGGAGAGTTAAGTTTCCATTGTGCTGAAACTTTCACTTTCATTTTGATAGAAACTATACTGACACTAACTTGTAAACCTCACTGCTGTTACAATTGAGAATGTACATTTCTTGTTTACCTTTTTTCTGTGTTGTAGCTTCTCCTGATTCTTTTTTGCCTCCCTGTGGTGAGGTCTGTCAGTAGCATCGCTGCACAAAAACACATGTATTAATCTGAGCCAAGTTCTTAATGTGTGAATGAAGACTGTGAGCATGAAAATGCACAAAAATTACCAGAGAAATCAATCTGGCCCCTGTAACTGAAAGATGATGTGTTTAAAACAGCCTTGGAGTTTTTCAGGTAAAAATTTTCAACAGCCTCACTGCTAAAGGGGAGATCGGGGTCATCCTACAGAAAAGGGACAAGACACTAGAAACATAAGCGTTACTTGACATTATGGAACCAGATAATGTGATCTAAAGAAATACACAAATTACCTCAAACTGGTGCCACTGTCCACAGTCAGCAAGGTAATACCAGCACCAAGGGGTGTCAGATGTATCCATATATTCCACTAATGTATTTTCCAACATCTTTTGTTGCTGTTTCTTGTTGTCAGAAATGTAACTGATTATATCACAGAAAAAGCTGAAAAATTAACCTGCTTCCTCTCTATGACTTAACTACTGGTGTTTCTGACTCCTCATGAGTCAAATCTCATTCATAGACACACCTTCTACATAGCCCTAGAAGGCAAAGTAGATCATGTGACATTACATGCACAATATAATTTGTTTTCAGTCTTCTAACCTGAAAGATGGGCTACAATAATTATTTTATGTGTTTAAATTGAAAAATTTATTAATTGTGACATGCAAATTACAGACAAGTATAGCTTAACACACGCATAGCTGTAAGATGTTTCCCCCCCATACATTTAATATAAATAAACTCAAAGTACCACAAGTGCACCACCTTGTGGCATCACCTTGTGCAGGTCGAAAACACATACAAACATGGTCATACAATTAATTGAACAAATGCACACAAAAAAATAATTTTACATTACAGTACAACAACAGTGTGCTGAGCACATTTTTTTTTAATTACACAAAGTGCAAAAATAAACCTGCGTTATTCAGGTTTTAACATCAAACCCAGATGACTTGGAAATTAAATTCAATGTTGAATTGTTACAATTTTTAAAATTAACTTCATTGGAGGCAACACGGTGATGCAGTGCTATCACCTCACAGCAATAGGGTTTATCCTGCCTGGGGCGTCCCTGTGCCTTTGTGGCAAGGATGCGGCGGGAAGGCCTGGCTCACAGTCTCTGCTCTAATTCATTCCAAAGGTGTTCTATCAGGCTGAGGTCAGGACTCAGTGCAGGCCAGTCACATTCTTCTACACCACACTCTCTCATCTATGTTTTTATGGACCTTTCTTTGTGCACTGGTGCACAGCCATGTTGGAACAGGAAGGGACCATCCCCTAACTGTTCACACAAAGTTGGGAGCATGTCATTGTTCAAAATGTCTTGGTATGCTGAAGCATTAAGAGGCTGTGATGTTCTTCTTTATAGTGGACAGAAATTATTTTTTGGAGTGGTACAAATAATTTGTGTGGCATCTTATTGAATTCAGAAGAGCTGATTGTTCTGTAAATAGTTTGAAATGGTTATTTAAAAAAGGGATCACAAAGTAGGAACTCCAGCATCACTTGAGGGAAGATGAACAACTTAATAATTGACCAACGGTTTCGGCTTGTGGCCTTCATCAGGGTCATGATGAAAAAAACTTTTCTACTTGGTTTTATGTTTTTTGTCTGATTTTAGATCAATTTGTTAATACAGTATGTCAAAATGAAAACATAACTGTAAATTCAGACACGTGAGGTTGTGCTGAAAACAATGATACCAAACAAGGCAAAGTAAATAGTTTTTAAAGGTGAAATGTAGAGGAAAATCAAAAGTAGTTAAAAATGGCCAATTATACCCTGGACCCCAGAGGGTTAATTTTTAAAAAAAGTAACACAATAGTTACTTTTCAAGTAATTAATTACTTTTAGAATATTGTAACTCAGTTACTAACTCAGTTATGTTTAAGTAACTAGTAACTATAATTAATTACTTTTTCAAAGTAACTTGCCCAACACTGATAATTACATGACAGTACATTTAGAAAAAGACTGAACAGTATGGTTTGTTTGGAGGTTTTTTCTGAACAAGCCACAAAACCTCTGCAACAATGTCCTTTGAACAGATTAGACCGAAATGGAGATGTTTCGCAATATTGCACAGCAATATTTGTTGAAAACACCAATCCATCAATCCACTTCAGCTGGAGTCTATCCCAACAACATGAGGGTGAGATTGGTGAAAACATATCTATACAAAAACCTCATACTAACTGGAGGGGAAGGGGTGATGGGCTTATTTTGTAAATACAGTGTATGGGAGCCTTGCAATTCCCATTCAATCCTCTGTATACCAAAGTGTACTAGAGTGAAATCTGAGGCCATCTGTCTGCCAACTAAAGCCTGGCCAAAACTGGGTAAGTGCAACACTACAATCCCAAGCCAAGCCAAATCTACAACAGACTGGCTAAAAAAGAGAAAAGAATAACGGTTTTCCAGTGGTCTAGTCAAAGACCAGAACTCAACGTGAATGAAATACTGTGTCGTGACCTTATGAGAGCTGAACATAAATAACTGCTCACAAACCTCAAAAAGTGAAGGAACTCTGTAAAGAAGAGTAGGTCAAAATCTCTTCACAATTTCAATTTCTTATGTGAAAGACTGACGGAATCAAACAGAAAATTATTATTTCAGGTTATTGCTGATAAAGATGCTTCTAAAGTAACTGAATCATACGTTGTTTTTCCACATCCTTCACAGAGCCCCATGAAAGCTTTCTGTCCACATATACAGTGGGGCAAAAAAGTATTTAGTCAGCCACCGATTGTGCAAGTTCCCCCACCTAAAATGATGACAGAGGTCAGTAATTTGCACCAGAGGTACACTTCAACTGTGAGAGACAGAATGTGAAAAAAAAATCCATGAATCCACATGGTAGGATTTGTAAAGAATTTATTCGTAAATCAGGGTGGAAAATAAGTATTTGGTCAATAACAAAAATACAACTCTTGCGTGGAGCCCCAGATCGAGGGAGATTATCAGTGGTCTTGTATGTCTTCCATTTTCTGATGATTGCTCCCACAGTTGATTTTTTCACACCAAGCTGCTTGCCTATTGTAGATTCACTCTTCCCAGTCTGGTGCAGGTCTACAATACTTTTCCTGGTGTCCTTCGAAAGCTCTTTGGTCTTGGCCATGGCGGAGTTTGGAGTCTGACTGTTTGAGGCTGTGGACAGGTGTCTTTTATACAGATGATGAGTTCAAACAGGTGCCATTCATACAGGTAACGAGTGGGGGACAGAAAAGCTTCTTACAGAAGACGTTACAGGTCTGTGAGAGCCAGAGATTTTCCTTGTTTGAGGTGACCAAATACTTATTTTCCACCCTGATTTACGAATAAATTCTTTACAAATCCTACCATGTGAATTCATGGATTTTTTTTTCACATTCTGTCTCTCACAGTTGAAGTGTACCTCTGGTGCAAATTACTGACCTCTGTCATCATTTTAAGTGGGGGAACTTGCACAATCGGTGGCTGACTAAATACTTTTTTGCCCCACTGTATGTAAAACAGATGAACAACAATAAGCTACATGAGCTTAGAATTTGATTTCGCACATGTTATTTTAAAATGCGTGTGAATGTTATGTCCAGCACAAATACAAACATAAACATTAGAACAGGAATAAACACACATGCAGACTTTGATTTGGTTCTGCTGACGTATTTATTTATTTATGAAGCTATATTATTACTAAATTAAATAGAAATAAATTAGATGGGAATTTACATTACATGACCACAAGTATTATATTCAACTATTCTAATACTAAGCAGTAGCACCTGGTAAGTAAACTCATTTTTATTAGTACCTCTGATCCAAAGTAAGGAAATGTAACGATAACTTTGCTGACAGATTATCTTGCTGAAAACGACCTAGTTTACTGGAAATTTTTCTAAAAATGTTTAAAATGTAGTAAAAATGCTGTAAAAACTTCATCGAAGCCATCAGGAGTTGTGCTTGAAATGTACTGTTTGAGGTAGCCATGTTGATCTTGCACATGTTGCGCTCAGCTGTACTGAATCAAATACTCTGGATATATTTGATTTGGATCAAAAATGACAAAAATTCTAGGATGATTGACAACATCAACACAGCTGTCATGCAAGTTTTCGGGATTCTCATGATCGGGTTTTTGAAAATCAGGTTCTCCAGCAATTGGATTTCCAGTCATCACCCGAGCCAAAAATATAATTTTAGAGTGTACAAGTTGTCTTTTCCCGCCATAAACTGGCAGTGGTTCCAAGCTGCTCTTACTGTATTTGTCGGCTAATGCTGCATGTTTGGCAAAATAAATTCCTACGTAAAAAAAGAAACTTAGATCAGCTGAGAAGAAAAAAGACAGAAGAAATGGTAAAGAGTTAGAAATTCATTTTTGCACAAAACAATGAACTTACCTTTGCCATATCTGTTGCCATGCTGTCCAGCTAACCGTACATCAAAGTTATACTTGCAAATATAATCCACATTTTTAATATCAGTCCCATGAAAGAGTCGTCTCTCTTGAATTTCTTTGATGCCTTGAATCCTCATCAGCTGTTTCTTTTTCCTTTGATGCAAATATAAAAATAATGGTAATAATGAAAAGAAATTATTAACAAAAAACATAGTGTAAAACTTAACTTACCTGCAATATAATTCCCAAAGATCCAAATTCTGTATCCTGTTGATTGACAGAATGGTTCTGTCCAACAGCCCATCGGTCTTTACATAATGTTTCACTGTCCAATACTCGGGGGAGTGCTCACTCAGAGGGATTAACTTTAAAAAGTATCAGAAATCAGTTATTGCTGAAATATCTGCGGTTTTAATCTATGCTTCTAACTGTATTGTATATTTGTGCTCTAGCTGTAGATATTTTGGACATTAAGCAACATTTTTGTCACCTGGTATGGCGATTCCGGATCAAACGATTCCCAGAAAACAGGAGCGAGGCTGAAACAGGAACACCTGCAGGAGGAGAGTTAAGTTTCCATTGTGCTGAAACTTTCACTTTCATTTTGATAGAAACTATACTGACACTAACTTGTAAACCTCACTGCTGTTACAATTGAGAATGTACATTTCTTGTTTACCTTTTTTCTGTGTTGTAGCTTCTCCTGATTCTTTTTTGCCTCCCTGTGGTGAGGTCTGTCAGTAGCATCGCTGCACAAAAACACATGTATTAATCTGAGCCAAGTTCTTAATGTGTGAATGAAGACTGTGAGCATGAAAATGCACAAAAATTACCAGAGAAATCAATCTGGCCCCTGTAACTGAAAGATGATGTGTTTAAAACAGCCTTGGAGTTTTTCAGGTAAAAATTTTCAACAGCCTCACTGCTAAAGGGGAGATCGGGATCATCCTACAGAAAAGGGACAAGACACTAGAAACATAAGCGTTACTTGACATTATGGAACCAGATAATGTGATCTAAAGAAATACACAAATTACCTCAAACTGGTGCCACTGTCCACAGTCAGCAAGGTAATACCAGCACCAAGGGGTGTCAGATGTATCCATATATTCCACTAATGTATTTTCCAACATCTTTTGTTGCTGTTTCTTGTTGTCAGAAATGTAACTGATTATATCACAGAAAAAGCTGAAAAATTAACCTGCTTCCTCTCTATGACTTAACTACTGGTGTTTCTGACTCCTCATGAGTCAAATCTCATTCATAGACACACCTTCTACATAGCCCTAGAAGGCAAAGTAGATCATGTGACATTACATGCACAATATAATTTGTTTTCAGTCTTCTAACCTGAAAGATGGGCTACAATAATTATTTTATGTGTTTAAATTGAAAAATGTATTAATTGTGACATGCAAATTACAGACAAGTATAGCTTAACACACGCATAGCTGTAAGATGTTTCCCCCCCATACATTTAATATAAATAAACTCAAAGTACCACAAGTGCACCACCTTGTGGCATCACCTTGTGCAGGTCGAAAACACATACAAACATGGTCATACAATTAATTGAACAAATGCACACAGAAAAAGTAATTTTACATTACAGTACAACAAGTGTGCTGAGCACATTTTTTTGTTTTGTTTTTAAAATTATACAAAGTGCAAAAATAAACCTGCGTTACTCAGGTTTTAACATCAAACCCAGATGACTTGGAAATTAAATTCAATGTTGAATTGTTACAATTTTAAAAATTAACTTCATTGGAGGCAACACGGTGATGCAGTGCTATCACCTCACAGCAATAGGGTTTATCCTGCCTGGGGCGTCCCTGTGCCTTTGTAGCAAGGAAGTAGCGGGAAGGCCTGGCTCACAGTCTCTGCTCTAATTCATTCCAAAGGTGTTCTATCAGGCTGAGGTCAGGACTCAGTGCAGGCCAGTCACATTCTTCTACACCACACTCCCTCATTCATGTCTTTATGGACCTTTCTTTGTGCACAGCCATGTTGGAACAGGAAGGGGCCATCCCCAAACTGTTCACACGAAGTTGGGAGCATGACATTGTTCAAAATGTCTTGGCTTGGTATGCTGAAGCATTATGAGTTCCTTTCACTGGAACTAAGGGGGCGAACCAACTCCTGAAAAACAACCCCACAGCATCATTCCTCCTCAAACAAACTTTACACTTGGCACAGTGAGGTCAGACAAGTACCGTTCTCCTGGCAACCACCGCAGCAGCTCGGCCATGGAAATCCATTCCATGAAGCTCTCTATGCTGAGTTTCTGAGCCAATCTGAAGGCCATGAAGTTTGGAGGTCTGTGGTGATCAACTCTGCAGAAAGTTGACAACCTCTGCGGCACTATGCCCCTCAGCATCAGCTAAATCTGCTGTGGGATTTTATGTGGCCTAAGACTTTGTGGCTAAGTTGCTGATGTTACCAGTTGCTGTTACCAATAACAGTTGACTATGGAATATTTAGTAATGAGAAAATTTCATGACTGGATTTGTTGCAAATGTGGCATCCTATCACAGTACCACACTGGAATTCACTGATCTCCTGAGATTGACCCATTCTTTCACAAATGTTTGTAGAAGCAGTCTGCACGCCTAGGTGCTGGATTTTACAAACCTGTGGCCATGAAAGTGATTGGAACGCCTTAATTCAATATCTGCACTGCTGGGTGAATACTTTTGGCAATGTATTATATATCTTAGGCTAATTTGTGATCCTAGTTTGGCCATACATGTGGATGTGAGTATGAATGATTGATTGCTTCTCTGTTATGAATGTGACAGACCCAAAATAATTTAGAAAACTGATGGACAGACGAACTTGGTTGAAAACCCCAATGAAATTCAGCGGTCAGAAAAGATGAACAGAAACGAATTGCTCAGGGACGACATCACACATTTTACATGTTTATGTCAATATGACACAATTACAAAACCTTTCATGGAAAGTGCAAGATAAAAAAATGCAGAGGTAGGAGCGTTTTTATGACAAAAACATGAACAAAAATCCATGCTTATATAATACATGGTACTACTAGACACAGATTTTCAGAACATGGTGCAAAATGAGTGAGCAGAGCATGTTCTTGGATTTATAAAGAAGCATATGTATGGCACTGTGGAAGTAGAGGGAGTGATGGAGCCGGTGGTCGGATATTGCCTATGATCTACAGGCTGCAAGCACCACTCTTATTTTATCTAAGCAAATGTGCACACATATTCAGTAAGCAAGCATAGACTCAGGATTAAAGATAAAAACAGCACAAAGACTGTCTTCAGTTAGCATCTTTTGAAGTCATGGAAACGTTCTAACTTCTGGGTCCAATTATGTATGCTGTACAGTATACAATTTGACACAAAGTCCTTACTGTCTTACCAACTTCTTCAAAGGCACTTAGATGACCCATGCTCCATTCAGTCATGGAAATCAATTATCCTGTCATCTAATTTCATATCCTAGCTTTTCCAGCCTTTATTAAAAAAAAAAAGTTGGCATCATTTTCTTAGGCATCAGTAGAACTCAATCAGATACTCTGGATAAATCTGATTACTGTCAAAAATGACATAGATCTTTGGATTGGCCATATCATCCACACAACTGTCATAGAAGTTGGTGAAACTGGCATCCTTAGAGGGTGGTCTGCAGTACATTGGATGACCAACTGTGTATTCTCCAACAAGCACTCTGGCCAGGAACATGGTCTTATAAGGCGGCTCACTCGCAAATATCGGTGGTGCGAGTCCATGTCTCTGTAAGGTCGTGTTGTGTTTCCCTGTGGTGTGACAGAATTTACTGGAATATTTGGCATCGCGGGCAAAGTAGCTCCCTGCAGGAAAGACAAGAGCACAATGTTAAAACTGGACAAAAGGAGAGTAGCAAAGTCTTTCATGATACAACATAAAAGATCTACCTTTGCCATAGACATCGCCATGGCTTCCTGTGAGCCGCCAGTCAAAGTTAAATGTACATATAGCTTGTATATTGCTGTGTCCCGTGCCATGAAACAGCATTCGTTCCTCAATATCCAGTGTTCGCTTGACTTTTCGCAACTGTGTTTTCTTCCTTAGAGCAGCACCAAGGAATGACAACATAAAACAAATAATGACTTTGATACTGCATGACTGTACAAAGTTTGATCAGTGAAAAGTTCAGCAACTTTTCCCATGAAGAGCAAAAATCATACCCAATTTAAATTTTGCCCCATCTATGCAATTCAGGATTTTCACCTTGTGCACCTCTATATCACTTCCAGTACTGCTGCTATTTTTAGATCATTTCCTGGAAGGCCTGCTTGGACCACTTGTACACAGTGCAGAAAGCAAACTTCAATTAAATTCAAACGCATTAAACAGTTTGGAAATGGCTGTGGGCTGTCAGCTGTGAAGATGAATACCTTGCACCAATGCCCCTAGTCTCTAGCACTTGTGGCTCAGGTGGTAGAGCGCATTGTCTACAGACTTGGAAGGCCAGTTGGTTTATCCTTGACTCCTACAGTTTTCATGCTGAATTATCTTCGGGCAAGACACCAAACCCCGAGTTGACCCTGATACATCAGTTGCAGTGTGAATGTGAGAAAGGGCTAAGGTATAGATAAAAGAAGTGTATGAATGTATGTGTGAATGGGTGAACGACACTTGTAAAGTACTATTTTAAGCAGAAAGGTGCAATATAAGTACCATTAAAACAATAACAATATGAGAACAATAATAGAAACTGACCTATGTGGTTAGGAAAAGATCATCAGAATTATTTGATTTTTCTGGAGCTATTAAAGACTGGGCACGTTGAGGAACTGGAGAGAGAGTGAAGCAATGAAAATATGCAACTAAATTTGGGAATGTATACAGTATAGACTATCCTGTACTTTTTTTTTGTATTTTATTTTATATTGTTTTTAATTTCCTTTAGTATTATTAATATTATTATTTTTTTAATTATTTTTTTATTTGTTTTTTGAATGTCTTGTGTTCTTAGTGCTTTCTTACTGCCATATGTTTAAGGTGTTTAAAGTGTTGGATGTTTATGAATACAAAATTCAACACATATATTTTTACAATAAGAACAACAATAATAACAACAACAGTATAGTAATTTATTGTGTGTTGACAGGTTAGGATGTGCTAGCAAGTGAAAAAGACTGAAAACAGCTTTTGTTTCTGACCCAGTCACCTTGCATTATATTCACCTCGTGGATTCCCCACGAGGTGAATATAATGCAATGCAGGTAAGTTTAATCTAACAATTTATAAGAAATATGTACAAACGTGGGCTTTGAAGTGGATAAGGTTCCAGTTCCGCTGAATGGTTATTATCAAAAAAAAAAAAAAAAAAAAAAAAAAGTCCTCTGCCTTTTCAGGAGGCCGGAATGAGCAGCCAGCTCAGAAACCTCCCAATCACAAAGCGTTTTCAGAGGTATATGTATAAACCAACGCCTTTTAGTGAATTAATTTGTTCAACCGCATCCCACGGGGTCAAACTGGCATTACATTTCTGGGGCATTTTTGAGAAAAAATTTGGCACAAACACCCTGAACTGTAGCGGTTGCCAACATGCCACTGCACGCCCACACAGCCAGCACTGTAAAAGCAGGAGTTTTACTTCCTTTGCCCTATTCAAGAGACTTTGTTTTCCTTTATAAAATGAAAATTAAATTACATTCAAGTTGAAGAGATGCCTTTTTGACACAGTGCAGGTGATCCAGTGTGAATTACAGATGCATACTGGCAATTTCCATGAAATGATCTAGAAACAAGTGCACATTGTGCACAGGAGACGAGCTTGAAGAAGACATCGGCTGAAAGGGGTGGATTCATGGAATTCGGTTCAATTCTTTAATTTATGCTAAGAAAAAAGCCAGCATCTTTATTGGAAGTTTGGGAAAACTAGAATTTACAATTTTCCCAGTTTCACTAATGGAGTGCAATTTAAGTGTAATTAAGGCAGTATATACAAGGAAACATTTTTCCTCACAAAAATGTAGAAAATAATATTCTACCTGCAGAAGAACTCCCATAAATCCAGGTTCTGGATCCTCTGGATGGATTTAATTGGATGATCCATTGTTCTTTCATACAGTCTGGCTACTTCTTTAAATTCATATGTGTCTCTGCCAAGCTGGATGAGCTGCAAAGGCAAGAAACACTCACACAGCTCTACCCTTTTCTGCAGTATGTTTCATATTCCTCTTTTTCTCTCTCATTTGCAAATGTTTGACCTCAGACTGAACAAAGTTGGGAACTTCTGGACTGACAAAACACCGCATACAATCACATGCACACCTGTCTAAAAGTTTTGACCAGTCTGCCACTATTTTTACATCAGAAATCAAAAGAACATAAAGGTATCGTCTCAATACTAAAAATGTGTGAACGAAGCTAAGTGGAACAATAAGATGTGTTTCCGTACTTCTGTACTCACTTGATAGGGCTCATCTGTGTTTATTCTTTCCCAGTGACAGGGAACAGGCAAGGCGAGATTATCACAAATAAACCTGGGAGGATCAGCAAAGGAGAAGAGTCAGTAAACCAATCACTGCATCAGAATGAGAATGGATGTGTTTGCTTTATGCTCACACAAAAATAATTCAACGCTTGCAAAAAAAAAAGAAAAACGAAAAAAAGGAGGGAAAAAGGCAATTGTTCTCTTTTCTTTTGTTACTTTCATTTCCAGGATTTTAAGGACAGGAGATGCTTGACCCCTAAACTTCCATTTAATACATGGTCTTCTTAAACCCCTTTAACATAACTTTTCCATGATAGCAAGTAAATAAAACCAAATTATAAAAAGGCTCTCTGGATGTACACTCAAACCATCAAATCTTACCTAAATCCAGTTGCAGAGTGGAGGGAGCGTTTGATCGGCCGTTGCTTTCCTGTTGTAACATTTATCTGTCGCATGACTGTTTGGGGATTTAATGACAATTAGGTGTTCATGTGCAATTTCTTTAACAAAATAAACAACAGAAAAACTAACTTATCCTCAATAGAACTGATGCGACGGGATTTCCTTTAAAAAAGCTTTAACACTCTCAGCCTGGATAAAGTACCTTTAGAATTACTTTAATTAACTCATGAGTTTTCACCTGAGAAGTCCAGTCTGTATGTGTACTTGGCTGTGTAAAACTCCATCACACCACGCTGGTTCCTGTTGTAGCACTGCTCAATCTGAGCGCTGGTCACAGAGCAGGCTGCACTGGGATCAATCTGACAGGGAAATAAAAGGGAAAAAAAAAAAGGGTTAACCAGCCAATCAGTTAATTAACAGTTAGTTAAGAGAGTTGATTCTTTATTTAGGTCAAAGGCTTAAAATTTATCTGAAAAAACATCAATTCTTTGGTTTGACTTAAAGCTTGTCTTGTAAATCGATACATATATATTTGGAGGTTTGAGCTACTGGTGGGATAAATAAGACAGCTGAGTGTAACTCGCTGTCAGAAACTGATAAACCAGAAAAACACATTTTAAATGTGTTCATGGATTTTTGATGCATCATTGTTAAATTCCTTTTAATTGCAGTTTAACACATACGTAGTGTTTGGAAATGAGAATGGCAGTTTGCTGGCACATGATGGCCAGTTTTTTTGCCTCCCTACAATCAACCCAAGGCAATGTTTTTTTCTTTGTTTTTCTTTTTCCTATAAATGTATTGATGAGCTAAAAGGGAGAATGAAAACCTGCAGAGTCTGGCAAAATACGACCAAAGGAGGGGCGATATGCTGGGCATACAGAGTAAAGCCAGTTACAAAGTCTGCTATTGTGTATAAAGTTGTGGTATCATGTGAACTACCTCAAACATATGCCACACTCCACACTCAGCCAAGTAGAACCAGCACCAGTTGGGCTCTGAGGTGTCCATCTCCTCAATCTCAGTGGACTCCTCCTCTGACGATCTGATGGCTAACATAGCTAAATCTGAAATTAATAAGTGAAAACACGCCAACACACTTAGGCAAATAGCAACTAAAATACAAGAAAGTATGGGGGAGGGCCTAAGGTGGTGTTTTGGTCGTCAGACAGTCCTGACGTTGAGGACTTGTTTTTAGCAACGGTCGTGAGAGCATTACATCCTGTAAACAATTTCATACAATACAGGAAACTGCCATGTTGAACTAAGCTATCATTAGCGGATGCCGCACCCGACTCATCTCGACTCTACTGGTGTCTTACCAGTTTTCAGCCTGCCTCTGTCCTTATCGGAAAACAAAGCCTTCATACATGATCAACAAAGCCTCAGAAAAATCACAGGTTCCGTCTAAGCTTGGGGGACTAACGCCAAAAACCATTTTCGTTATCCTAGGCGTTGTTTACTTTTATTTCCCCGTTCGTCATACACTCCACGTCAAAGCGTCGACGTCATGTAACTCCTCCCTCCTTGAAATCAGGACTGTTTCCCGGAGTTTGTCCTGACAGGCGCACTACCGGTGCAATGTGATACGGCTCAGGCGTTTTAAAGTTACGCACGCGGTTAAAAAAGTTAATAAAATAAAATAAGAGGACTGTATGGAAACTTACTTACTGAAGTCATTACTCCCCCTCCCCTAAAAAAATAATAATCGCTGTAATAATCTAAAAATCGGGGGTAATAATTAGCTCAACCTGTCATTTTTGACTTATTTGTTTTTCAGTGCAGTCAATAAAACAAATACATTAGATATTATGTAAGCTAAATAATGACGGCAAAGGTTTTTTTTTTGGTACCTGATTGTCTCGTACTACACTACAAAACCAATTTATAATTAATACTTTACTATTAATACAAACATTAGCGTTGTTATCATTTCGGACTGCGGTGCTTGTTCGCTTTGCTCATTTAACCTATTAAAACGCTGATATGTATTTTGTGTATTACACATCACTGTGTAGATGGCACAGATCACAAAACAACAACAACCCCAAAACAAAAACCTGTTCATAAAACCAGAGGAATGAATAATAAATACATATTTCTTATTTTTCCTCAAGCTGCATATTCATTGTAGGAGAAAAAAGTCCGGCATTATTAACGTCACTGTTTGATTAGCAGTTATGTAAAGACGATAACACAGACAACATAACAACAACATATATACGTACAGGCAACGTACAGACCAGCTACTACACACATATATATATATGTGTGTGAATTTGCATGTTATAAAATTATTTCCTAAAACCTGTGTCGATGTTGATAATCATATGGTACCCTAGGCAGTTTATATAGTGGGTAGCATCCAGATTAATTAAGGCGTCTAGAAGTTTGGGTCCAAACACACATAGCTTACATACGCTACTATCATTATTCTACGATAATATACAATCGTGCATAATTTTATTCCATCTGATGACAATAAGTGCAATTTCTGCAATTACTTGTGCATAACACACGCACTGAGATGGCTGTTGTGTGCATGTGTGTGACATTACGCCGCTTGTTGAGACGTTTGAGTAATCCACGAGCATTTTCGTAGGGATGGCGCATCCAGAGCGTGTGTGGCTACTTATCCTTCAGGGCACACCCCTCAATAGAAAATAGAATAGAACCTTCCTGCAAACTTCGCTCATACAGTCGAGGAATTTCACTGTGGCGCTCGCTACAAGCTCACTGGTAAGTGGCATCAATTCAAATCTCGATGAGAAAGTGGAGGAAAAAATTAAATGCTATTTTTTTGTGCCTTTTTCTCTTTAATAATCGTTATTAGGGCAAATGTGAGGCTCATCAGTTAAATTACAAAGCTCATGATCTATATTTGCATGCATGCAAGAAAGACGGGGAGAATATAACAGGTATGCCATGATATTTATTTAAATGCTGTACAAAAGACAGAAAGACCATGACTGAGGAAACAACCGGGAATGTTCCTGCTGCAGACTCTGAGGCAGAAAAACAGGCTCCTGAGGATGGGGCTCTGTCGAGGGAAAAATGGGCCAACAACATGGAGTTCATACTCTCTATGGCTGGTGAAATAATTGGCCTCGGAAATGTTTGGCGTTTCCCCTACCTGTGCTTCAAGAACGGAGGAGGTGAGAGGTTCTGTTTGTGGGAGAGTTGTTCTGATGGAAACATTCAACTAATAGATAAGGATCCTTCATTAAAAAAATCAAAAAAAGAAACAAAAAAACAAACCCACCTGCTGATGAAATAGTTTGTGTCTATAATTTTAGGTGTCTTCCTCATCCCCTACTGCGTGTTCCTCTTCTTCTGTGGCATCCCCGTGTTTTTCTTGGAGACAGCGCTGGGACAGTACACGAGTGAGGGTGGGGTGACTGCCTGGAGGAAGATATGTCCCATGTTTCAGGGTAAAAACAAGGCTCACATTTAGGAACTGCATATTTCTGACAGCGCTTTCTTTGTGGAAATTGCAAAAACAATAGTGTAGCAGTTAGCAGTAAAGAAAGTCACATATAGAAGGCTAAGTCTATATTCCAAGCTTCAGATCCAGTAGCTGACTTAGGTGTTATCTAACTTTCAAACGTAATTACATAAAAGGGAGGATTTGTTAACCGTGCATGGTGCTGGGACTTGCTTTTATATAATGTTTCTGTCTTCTTGTCATAAAAGAAAAGAAGACAGCAGCCAAAAATGTCCTTTAACTATCTAAAATGTCACTTGTCCTCTAGGAGTGGGGTTTGCGTCCCAAGTGATTGTGATCTATCTGAACATATACTACATTATTGTTTTGGCATGGGCTATCTTCTACCTAATAAACTCCTTCAAAAGTCCCCTGCCCTGGTCTACATGTGACAACTGGTGGAACTCTGGTAAGAATGCTTGCTTAAACCCATCTGTATTTGATAAGCAGTGATTTTTCTTTCAAGACTTAAGAGAAAACAGCTAACATTCTCACTTTTATCCCTCTTTCTTTAATCACTTAGACTCGTGCCACAGTCGCATGAGCATCTTTGCAAACCCCCAACTGTTTCAGGCCGGGTCCAACTGGTCATTCTTACACAACGTCACCTCAATGGACTACTATGAGAATACAACTTAGTAAGTTGCATTTTGTTTTTCTGAGTTGTACAAATGAACTGTCCCCACTCTGTCTGCTCAACTGAAATTCTTTTTATGTGGACTTGAAAAGAGTCTGACTATGAAAAGGTTAATAGTAATCATGGGATTAAACAGCACAATAGCATCTCTGAAACGCACCCATGCTTTACAGCAACATCTGGACAGCATTCACGGCACTTGCTCCACGTTTTGTTATGTTACAGCCTTATTCCAAAAAGGATTAAAGTCATGTTTTACATCGAAATGCTACACACATCACCCCATAATAACAAAATGAAAAACGTTTGCTTGAAATTCTTACAAATTTATCAAAACAACCTGCAGCCCTTTGTTGCATGACTTCCCCTCTCTCTCCTCACTGTCCTGTCTATCTTCACTGCTCCACAGTCCAAAAAAGGTAAAAAATGCCTATTTTTTTAAAAAACAAATTTCCAAGAATTACAAGCAAACTACTCTCACTTTGCCATTATGAGGTATTGTGTTTAGCATTTTAAGGTGAAAAAAATAATTGAATTCATTTTGGAATAAGGCTGTAACATAATTAAAAGGACAAGCGAAGCACTGTGAATACTTTCCAGATGTACTGTAAATGTTTTTCAGGGTAGGAAATGCTTACTTACTCCTACCTTGGGATAATATAAAGATAATATGAGGGTAAAAAGCAACCAAATAAATCTAAAGGACTTGTCAAGCTTTAGTTTAATGTCAAATGTTTGAAATGTGCCACATTTAAGGTATATTTAATGCAACGTCTTCTCTACATTATTATATTCACTGCTTTGGATATTCCTATTATCTTCATTGATTGGACATTTATGTGATATTTCTTACTAAAGTGGACCTATTATTCCTTATTTTCTGACACATAGCACATGTGCTACAACTGCATAAGACCACACAGGGTGCCACTCCTGTCAGCTGAGAACAGGAAATGGAGGTTACAATTTGCACAGGCTTGCCAAATTTGGTGAGCCTGTGCAGGCTATTGTTGGTGGTGTAATTTGATATTTTCTTGGCACACTTGGGGCCCCTTGGTACCATCTGAGCATTAGTTAAATGCCACAGCCTTACTGAGTATTGAGTTGACAATGTTCATCCCTTTGTGACCATAGTGTACCCATCTTCAGATGGCAGCCTCAGAATGACACACCATGTCACAAAGCTCAGATTTTTCTAAACTGGGTTCTTGAAGATGCCAGCAAGTTCATTGTACTTGAATGGGCTCCACAGTCACCAGATCTCAACGCAATAGTGCACAAAAAGTCACTTCACCCTTTAAAGCCTGTTAAGATCCCAGTTACCTCTGTACAGAAGTCTGGACTAGGTCTCCATTGAAATTGCCTGAGTGTCTGATCCTAGGGGTAGTACCACAATAGTTTAGATGATGCACCACACTACCAACCCTGAATAAGGTACAATCAGTTTTGCCAGCAAATTTGCTACAAAATTTACTTTGGTGACCTGGACAGGTGGCCTCAGGGATCTGTTAATTCTTAAAGGCTAGAATAACCTATAAGATCCTCACAAAAGTAGATGTTCAAACTCATACCCAAATTTTACCTTTTCATTTAAAAAGAAAATCACAAAGGGAACGTCCACATAATTAAGTTTAATTTCAGATGGGATACTTTATTAAGCAATTTAACAAGGGCAAAACAAACAGCTCATCGATTATTAAGAATAAAATCAGTTTAAATTTTAAACATTTCAAGAAAGTAACACATTTTAAAATATAAAATAATGAAATCTAAACTGTTGCTAATAACTCATTACCAGTTTTGATGGGGCTTTAGTGGAGGACAGAAAGAACACCCTGGATGTAGATAAATTCTTTCTGAGGAGGTAGAACCCATTACAAAGTTCCCAAAACTTCCTCTAAGTCCCAATCTATGATTCCGGTAGTGAGCAGAGCAGAGCAAAGATAATGAATCCATAGTGGGTTGGAAAAACAAGGATAAATCCACTGAGTGGTCTTCTAATCTGCTCACTTCAATGATGCCCGGAGGAAAAAATGCCTAATCGTTATCTGTAGAGGGTTTTATACATCCTCTGAGACAACCAACATCCCACGTTAACAACCAACCACCTAGTGTGATGTGCAATCGCCTGATTTGAGACATATCTTGTTGTTCAGACAACAGACAATTATTTAGGCTGGATCCTTAGATGCACACACAGAGGTCAAGGTCACATTTGCACAGAAAGAAATACAGACAAATACACACACACACATGCAGAAACAGTGTGGGTTGAAAAGTTTAAACATTAGAATTATTACATTTTAATTATTATATTCTTATTTTTTGATTAGATTTCCGATTACAGCAAGAATAACTCAAACATTTTGCTTGTTTGTTAGGATGAAGTAAAGGCTTTTAACAAGTCCCATTATGATAAATATGGATTATTTCAAACTGTGAATCATGCAAAGCATGATTGAACAATACAAATCTGAGGCCAAAACTGAGTACATAAGATCCACTTAAAATTAAAAATGCATTTACTATGAAAATAAATGTGTTTGTGGTCTTTATGAAACTGTTAGAATGTTAAAGGATTAATTTCACCCCTCCTTATACACTTGTTTTTTTTCTTTCCAGCAATGAAACAATATTGATGAGCACGTCACCAGAAGAGGAGTTCTGGAGGTTAGAAACTCACTCATACTTTTATTTTCCTTGAACATTAGAAGAGCTGGACAGTCAAATTCCCCATTTAGCTTGTCTTTGGGTGGAAAATTCCTCAACAATAGCGTTCAATGCTTCCCAGATATCAAAAAATAATTGTGAGTTAGAAAACACGGTGTGATAGTGAGCCAACATAAGTTGAACCGAGGCCACCCAAATAAAACAAGCAGCCAGTTACATTCCTCAAAAGACATAATAGCACTGAATAATAGCATTTTTATTGAACTTCCAACTCTCATTCAAAGTTGTTTGCTCCTCTCTCTTTTAGACATGTTGAAACATGGCTGCCTCTTTTCACATGATAACCTCCTGATTTGGTGTGAGAACAAATACTGGGAAATCGCTGTGCTCCATAATGAAAACAATATGTGCTCTTTGCTGTGCCCATTTATAATCTAAACCGTATTCATCCAAAAATAAACAGGGAGCAGTTTCAACATCCGTATTCATGATGAGATGCTTGGTGGTGTTCTTTTGACGTATATATGAGGATCTGTTTATTTGCAGTGGGAGAAGATTTTAAGAATGGGGGTTTTAGTGAGCATTCATCAGCATTTGGAGAGCATCCATGTGTTCATGTGTTCCCACATGTCTCTTTTTTCATAGTAACCGTGTGTTAAGAATATCAGAAAACATGTCTTTGGGTAAGATTCATTGGGATCTGGCTCTGTGTCTTATGTTTGCCTGGATCATATGTTACTTCTGCATCTGGAAGGGAATCAAAACAACTGGAAAGGTAAGCATTTCCTTAACGTGGAGGATATCAGCTGTTAAAGCTGTCCCTGTTAAAGCTATATAATGGTGTGCAAAGTGATGTGTTACATTTTTCCCGTTTGGTCGGTGGATAAGAAGGGATTCTCAGTCTGCAAAAATATGTAGCTTATAAACCCTTCCCTATTAAAAAGGTGGCACAAGCTGTCAGTCAGCACTTTTAGCTTGCTTGTGTGATATTTCTTGGGTGTTTGTGACAGTTATGTTAATATTAACCAGGAAATATGTATTTGATGTGCTGTCGAGACAGATATTACCCCCACTCGTCTGACAGCATTTTACTCTTTGCTTCAGCTCTGTTGTTTTTACAGACCCCAACTGTGCTTTTTCTGGCTCAGGCCTACTGTTCTCATTAACCCCACTTCTAGCCGCAGACTTTTATCCCTTTCTATTACATGAAGACAAAACAGCAATAAAAACCAAGTTAATGACTATCCGGTATAAACAGTGGAACACATGGCAGTGTACGAGAAGTGTTTTTCCTGCAGGAGGTGGTGGTGGCAAAAATTCCATTACAAAAGGAACTGCCAGACAGTTGCAGCTTATAGCTTTGTTTATTCTAAAACGAATCATGTGCAACTTTAAACCAACGGATAAGTGTATGAGAAGTATGCAAAACTACAACCTGCGTTTATATGTTTGTAGGTGGTGTACTTCACTGCTACATTTCCCTACTTGATGCTCTTTGTGCTCTTCATCCGTGGAGTGACGCTCCCAGGAGCTGGAGAGGGCCTGAAATACTACCTCAAGCCCGACTTCACCAGACTTAGTGATCCAGATGTAAGAGCTCACTCTGATTATCAAATGTTTATGTTGAAGTGTTTGGTTGTGGAATGCAAAAATCACAAACACAGCACACAGTACGACCACTTTACCATCATCTGAAAGCCGCAGTGTGAAGGATGGAGTGAGAACGAGTTCTCCATCTGCACTGAAAGTCATCAACAACCAGATCATCATCTGCCTGTCTTCATTTCTCAACACAACACTGTCTGTTGGATTTCTCTCCGCTCTAACAGGATGAATACAAAGTCCTGTTATCCTCAGTTATGCACCCCTCCCCCTCCATTTTCTTTGCCGTGACTTCTATTTCCGGTCCCAAGACATAGCCTTAACAGGAAAAGCAACCCAAAGATGATCTTCAGTAAAACATATACATCTTCCTCATAAAGGAATGTAAATAAGGGCCTGAAGTAACCTGTTTAAATATTATTTTTACCTTGCAAAAAAGTATCTTTTGTAAGCTGAGTCAGTGAATCTAATTTATATTTGCGTTTAAACAGCACACTTAATCTTCATTCTGTATTTTTTAGGATGTTCTGTCACTACGACACTTGGTTGTTCGGGTCCTGCAGGTCTTCAGCCCTCTCCACCCTAGTCTGAGTTGAAGCCCTTTGGTGTTTGCTTTTATCGGTTGTTTTCTCATCTCTCTCCTGTCCAGTCTTTGTCTGTTTGCCTCAGTTGCTGTGTTACTATCTCAGAAAGAAGAATCGTGTAAATCAGGGGAACGATCTGGTCATGTCACATGTGACCGTTTGAGTTAGAAGACAAAGTATTGCTACCCTTGTAGGAACCCAATAGCCCCAATGCAGTGTGGGAAAACGTGTGAAAATAATGTTTTGGAGAGGTGCAGGTGAAAGCGCTTATAGTTACAGGGCAGATTTATGCAGTGCCAGATGGTCTTGGAAGCAGATCTAGTCGTTCTAGTTTCTAGACTTGCTTTAGCGTGCGATTGTCTGTTTTCACGTGCACTGCAGAGGAGTGGTTCAGTTCTGGCCCACATCTGCAGTCTGTTTATTGTGTGAATGTGTCTCCTTTTGTCTCCGTGTCAGTGTGCGTGTTTGAATATGTACGCGGAGAAGCTCAGAGAACTTCAAAATATAATTAATTCCAGGGACATAACAATTCCTTCTTTGTCCAGAATAAGATGTAAAGATCATTTGCCACAGTCTCAGACTTCCATTTCTGACCCAAGGCAGGGAATAAACCAAGCCCACCACTGGGTCAGAGTAGAGGCCTCTATATAGCTTTGGAGCCTTGCCAGGTCTATCATGAGCAAGCCAGAGCTGTGGCGTCTCTAATGTTATCCAGATGCTGTCACGACTGTAGCCTGCAGATAGGCAATAGTGAAAACAAGCCTGCCCACATTCACAAGCCTCAACGTGCACGCTGTCTCATGTAGTTGTAATTTATGACAGGGTAACAGCAAAGCAGGAATATGCAAATGCTGTATACCTGGGTAATTTATATATCAAAACACAAAAAAACAGCTCTTAATCTACTGGATCTGAAATGCCTTCAGTTATTTTAACAATTTCAGCTTCAAAACATGTCAGAAATCTTGTCCCTCTCCAGGTGTGGCGTGATGCAGGGACTCAGGTGTTCTTCTCCTATGCTGTTTGTCAGGGAGTGCTGACGGCTCTGGGGAGCTACAACAAATACAACAACAACTGCTACAGGTCAGCCTCCTTAAAGGCAGACATCATCACATTTATTGTTTTTTTTTTTGGTTTTTTTTTTTAATTTTTCGATACTTTTGGCTTGTCTCTCTGTCCTGTTCCAGGGATTGTTTGGCACTGTGCTGTCTGAACAGTGCCACCAGTATCTTTGCAGGCTTTGCTGTATTCTCAGTGCTGGGATTCATGGCTCAGGACCTTAACATTTCATTGGAAGACATTTCAGCTGGTGGTAAGATAATTGCATACAAGGAAGTAAAATAGAGTTTCCTAAATAATTACCTGATAAATTATTCTTGTAAACATGCTGTCTTTAGTTTTTGTGCGTTAAAGTTTTAATTCATCCAATGCCCACAAGATGTCACTTTCTGTTCAGATAGAGTCAGAGGGTTGTGATGCTGTTTTTTCTTCTTCTTCTTTTTTCCTCTTTGGGAATGTAGTGTCTCAAAAGATGAGGAGATACAGTTTTTCCCACAAAATGACCACTTACTTATTTGTGTCTGTCTATAATTTGTTTACCTTTTTTTTGCATTAAATCTGGGATTATTTCATCTCTAAGACTCCAAACTCAGGTACAGCTTAAAGCTATGACCTTAACAACGCCCTGGAATGCGCATGTCATGTTTTAATAGATGCATTCACATTCTTCATACAGGTCCTGGTTTAGCCTTCATTGCCTATCCTACAGCTCTGTCGTTGCTTCCTGGTTCGTCCTTTTGGGCTGTGCTGTTCTTCTTCATGCTCCTTTTGCTCGGCCTAGATAGTCAGGTATTGTATGCAATGCACAATGCCCAGGATCAGATCAAAATCAAAATAAGCTAATCTTCAGTTCTGTGTTCATAGTTTGTGTGTGTGGAGAGCCTGGCCACAGCCCTCACTGACCTGTTTCCACGTTATCTGAGGAGGCCGTGTGCCAGAGAGATATTGGTTCTGGTCATCGCTATTGTTTGCTTCTGTTTGGGGCTGCCCTTCATTACTGAAGTAAGCTGGTTGTGCACTATCAGCACTTGTTGAAATAAAGTAGGAAAGTGAACTGTTCTGTTAAGGTCGCGTATTCTCTAGTAGTTAAAGCTTTTTCCATTTCATGTTGCACGTATAGGTTTCTGATAATGGTGACATTAAAAACAGACAAGGAGAAAACAGCCCTTCTGACAGTTTTATCAGAAGGTTTTTTTTTTTAAAATTTTTCTCTTCTTGTTTCAGGGCGGGATCGTCCTCTTCCAGCTGGTTGACACATATGGTCCAAGTGGAACCAGCCTCCTATTTATTGCTTGCGCAGAGACCATTGTTATTGGCTGGGTATATGGTAAGTTATTGGCTCTAAACTAGTGCTGCAGAATTTATCCATGCAAAAGTAATTATCTTCCTCTAAGTTCTTTGAATTGTTTCTCAAAGTATTTTTCTCTAAATGTAAAAATGTTTTTGCATTAAAGCATACTAATTTAGCTCTTTATTAGTAAGTCTTACTAATAACCTAAATAATAGGAATATGTGATTTATCGATTTATCTTTAGAATATCAACATCATCAGTACTGCAGTACATCCACAGTAGCTACAGAAAAGAACTTTATTATATCTAGTTAGCTTATGCAATTCATACAGAGCCTTTGTTTCATCAGCAGAATCGTTTTATCTCCATCTTTATAAGCATATCTTTTAGGGACCAACTTTGAAACAGTTGTTGGGGTCTGTCCAAAGTAAAATTAAAACAGCTATAGGACCAGCATTAAAAGTGACATTTTAGTGATGATGTAGGGATAAGAGTATTGTGTGTTTATTTATGTCTAATATTATTTAATTTTACTTCTGCTACTGCACATGGTTAAAGCTAGATAACTTTTAACATGAATGGGGAATGGAGTATATATAACAATGTTCACTGACAGTGAGGCTCACTGACTACAGTTATTCATTTTAAACACAAGTACTGTGTAAAAGTCTTGGGCCACTCCTCATCAATTTATATTTTGCTTCCAAGATGCCAGACGTTCTTGTAATTTTGTAAAGTGGTTCTTGAACGATAGTTCTCCAGGCTTTCTTTGGACACCAGCTGGTTTTTCACTCATTTTCAGTCCAGCTTTTATATCTGACCATTTTCAGAGGTATGTTTTTTTGTTGTTGTTGTTAACACGTTGTTGGCACTTAACACTGACCTATAAATCATTCTAGCAAAAAACAAAAACAAAATGCGTTATACTCAAGGGATGAATATGTGTTATGTCTACACATAACAGACAACTTAACAACGAACCAGTTTTAACAGGCTAGAGGCTTTTTTGTGGTTTGGATGCATTTTAGCCAGTGGTGTTGAAGATCTTGTCAAAATTGAAAACAGATTTTGCAGAAGAAACACACAATGGAACACTCGTATCAGTCAAGATTGGTCCCCAGAGCTCGGATCTAAGCATTACTGAAGAAGTGCGGGATTATTGTGAAAGAGATCATCCAACATGCAAAGAAAAAATTTGAATATCCTTCAAGAAGCCTGGAGAACTATTCCTAAAGACTACTTAAAGACATGATAAGAAAGCTTGCCACAGTGCCACCAGCATCTTTGCCAGGTTCCTGACAAGATATTGCTGATGCCCAAGTCTTGGCTCAAGTCTTTTGCAGAGTACTGTACACACCCACTTACGGCTTTATTCAGGCATGCCTTTGGGGCCCATCACTGATTGGGCCCCAAAGGTCACAAAAAATATAAAAGCCAGACTTACACACTCGTGATTTCATCTTTCTTGTTTGTGCTTCTTTCACTCTGGTGATACATAATGCTCCCAGCACTGCTCTGATATGTCACATTTGTTGTTTGATTTGATGTCTTCTCTGTTAGAGTCTATCACTTTGAATCTTACCTTTTGCCAATGTTGTATTTTGTAGTATTTTTAAAAGACACATTTGACAAATGTACAGTCGTTATCTGGTGCAAGCAGATCAGTAGATGTGACTGCATGCACTTTTGATTAATGTTGAAAGTCATATACAAAAGTGTCATGACATGATTGTATAGCTAGTTATTAAGACTTATCATAAAGTCATTAGTGTACAATAGATCATATCTTTTGTCTTTTTTCTGGTTTATTTTCACTTCTCAGAGTCTCTGTATTTTATGGATCCAGGCAGTTTTCTTTCATGAGACTGAAACTAATTATGACTGAAAAGATTTTTTCAATTTCCTGAACTGCTTGTTCTTTGGTATTATCATACTCTGCTGAAGCACATGGAGATATTGATGTGTTTCTTCCCCTTCCCCCTTTTTTGTTAGCTGTTTATTCATTCAATTGGCCTCCCTTATTCTTCAAAGTGAGTCTACACAGTATTGAGATACTCAACACAGCATAGTGCGAGGACACTCTCTTTCTGCCTCTGTAAAGTTGTAGTTAGTTTCAAGGTTGATTACTGTATCATTCATGGAGCTGTGTCTGCCTTCCTAAGTAGGTTTGGCAAATTCTTCAGCTATTATGCATTTTCCAAGAAAATCAATATGTGGATGTCTCTCCATTCTGCAGATCGTCTACTTTCCAATCTCATAGAACTTTACTCCTGTTTTTAAATGTCTCTGCCTCTTTCGGTAGCAAATGAAGGTGAGCTGCTTTCGAATCTTCATCTCCAATTGAACTCCTCCTACTCAGCTCCTCATTAACCTATACACTGCTGTCCCATGCGTTGTCATTTTCTTCTCATTTGGAAAACGTATTTTTTTAAATTCAGTCATTTTGAGTTTTATTTCGTGATGTTTGTTGATTTGTTTGTTGTTCTTTCCCCCTCCTTCCTCATGTACTGAATCATCATAGATAAGCATTTGTGTTAGTGATGTTGTATTGCAAAATCCATTGTGACTGGATTTTTCATAGGCTACTTTTATAAACTGTAGTAATTAGTATATCAAGATGTATTGATATTACTGGGGGATATTTATTGCAATGTGAAAAAGAACGTTTCCATAAGTAAGTAGAGTCAGGAGCTGCTAATCAAATGTCAGTTATTAATTGGAACAATGTCCTTTGACAGATAAGACCAAAGTTGAGACGTTTGTTCATGATGCACTGCGCCATTCTTAGTGAAAACCAAACATAGCATATCATCACAAACATGTTATATCAACTGTCGAACTAACTTTTGATCATACATTGTGGTTTAAAGCTGGAACAGAACAGTAATTAGTAACTATGTCTAAATGTTAAAGTGAAAGTAAGGAGTTAAGATGAAACTTCAACTCCTCATTATATTCATGAAATGTTAGAGCAGTTCCTGTAAAACTGAAACAGTTCTGTTTCCCTTGTATTGCTGTGCATGTTACAGGCGCAGACCGTTTCTATGACAACATTGAAGACATGATTGGGTATCATCCGTTCCCTATGCTGAAGTACTGCTGGCTGTTCATCACGCCGCTCATTTGCGGGGTGAGTCTTCACTCCTGTATCATATCTCTTTAATCTGATTCATTTGCTTTGTGCCTTTGTTCTGTCTTTCACACTGGATCTCTGCTTTAATGCCAATTTCCTCTCATCTTTTTATTCATATTCATTGTTTTATACCTGTTACTAATTCTGACAACCAGTTTTTGGTTGCTTTACTGCACGCAGATTACATTTGTCAGGTACAGATACGATTGTTGGGGAAGTGAACTAACTGCCAGTGAACTCATGGACTATATATAACAGATGGACATATCCATTATGACATCATTCATTGGTTTTTAAAGTCCCAAGCTTAACGCTTTTGCATCGGAAATTAACCTAACACTTCACTCTTTATCAAGATGGTATAGGGTAATGTTGGCTAGCTTGGTTAGAGAAATTCATAATCTTTCAGCTGTGAAATACACAGACAAATAAAACACTAGTTTTTCATTTTACGCACCAAAAGCTGGAGTATAAAGTTCTTGAAAATTCTGTAATACACAGGAAGTCATATTATGTATTGTATTTTTCCATAAAAAAAATCCAGAAGGCATTACCTGCACAAACATGAGCAAGAGATCCAATTAAATCTTCCCATAGTATCCCGCATAAATACACATACGGGAAGGAGAAAGTGAGGCTCATGCTTTTACGTGAACATCCTGTCATTGCAGACGTGATCAGCACAATGTAATTTCAGAGTTGGAGGCAGTGATTTTATAATCACAAAGCATCAAATGAATCTTAGAAGACAATGAAACTATGTGAAATCTCCAGAGAATTATATTTCAAGTCTGGACCTCCCTTCTTCATGGAGCTGCAGACTGATTTTCAGCTCACGCTATGGTTGGCCTGTGTTTTGATTCTCTGTCACAGCTTTCAAAGTGTTGATATCTGCTGCATCAGACAACTGTTTTCAGCTCTCAATGAAAATGAGCTGACTACAGTCACATGTAGTCACACATTTGGTGATGTGTGCTGCACCTGAGCATGTTTAATCCTCAGTGCAGTCCTTTGCATTACTGGGATGGATGTGTTCTGTGCCTTGACCTGCTTAAGGAGGTGTGTCCAGTCACTGTTGTAGTGGGATTGCTAACATAATGCTATACTGCAGATAAGATTACATTCATTATTTAATCAGCTACCACCACAGTGTATTTGCTGGCATCTTATAAGGTCCAACTAACTTTCTTGTGACACAACGTGGGCAGATTAAGGCAGATTAAATGGGAATATCAAAGTGTTTATTTGATTTTTTCATAATCTTTTTTATTTTCACTTGATAATAAAATTACACTTTCAGAAAAAGCAGTTAGCTGGTTTTACTTGTGCACATTTGGTTCATACAGTTAGGTCCATAATTTGTTGAACAAGGACAGTTTTTGTAGCTTTTGTTCTCTCGCCCACCACAGTGGATTTGAAATCAAACAATCAAGATGTGATTGAAGTGCAGACTTTCAGCTTCATTTCAAGGGAAACTATTATATGAACTGTTCATACAATATTTTCAGCAGCTAAAAGTAAATTGGATAAGCTAACATAATTGCAAATATGGGGATTATTTTTAATACTTGGATAAAAAAATCCTTTGCAGTCAATAACTGCCTGAAGCCTAGAAGATATGGGCATCAGCAAATGCTGTTTCGTCCCTTGAGGTGAAGCTACTTTCAGTTGCTTTTTGTTTGGGGGTCTGTCCGCTTTCAGTTTTGACTTGAAAATGAAAAGCATGCTCTTTTTTGGGCTGAGATCATGTGACTGACTTTGTCAGTGAAGAATAAATTCTTTGCCTTGAGAAACTCTTGGGTTGCTTTTGCAATATGGTCATTTGGGCACTGAGAGGTTTGCAGCATTTAGGCTGAATCTAAGCTGAGAGTACAGTCCTATAGACTTGAGAATTCTTCCTGCTACTTCTGTCTTCACTTAACACTTGGTTATTCAGTTCCTCTGGCTGCCATACATATCGATGCCAAAACATTAACTCAATTGGTATGGTATATATGATATGGTATGCTTCAGATAATGTTTGTTCCATTCTCTGTATTTTTACCTTTGTGATACAAGTGCATTTCTTTTTTTTAACCTTGTAATGGCAAATGTAATATAAACATTTGATATTCAGTTTTTTAGAGCTCTACAACATTAACGGTATCCCCCCCAAAAAAAGAAAGCACATTTTAAAAATAATAAATAACATCAAAAAAGGCTGGGTGTAGCAAATATGATACAAATTAAAACTCACATATGCAAACTGATATTTTATTTTAGTTTTTTAATCCACAAAAAAGCTTGTCATTGTCACCCAATTAATGTAAGCATCTACAAATGGGAAACTGTCGATAAAAATGGCTTTAATTCCCGACCAGATAACAAACCCCCTTGAATTAAAAGCTCAAAGTCTGTACTTTGATTTCAAATCTACTATGGTGGTGTACAGTGGCAAAACAACAAAAAAGGTGTTTTAATCCAACAAATAATGGACCTAACTGTAAATTAAAAACTAATTCTTCCACTGACAGCCATGTACTCATATAGATGGATAGGCCAATAGGATGTTAGGACCAAAAACAAAGCTAAAAGTGAGTGAAAAATTGACTTACATTTGTAGAATCACCTGAAACATGATTCCAAATGAATGTTAATCTTGTTTCATCTATGCTGCAGCGGTACCGCATTTGTTCTGCTGTCTGTCTTTCTAACTTGACTCTCTCCTATCCCCTAGCTTACATTGCTGTATAACCTGGTGCAAAGTCATCCTCTTGTTGTATATGGGTTTGAGCCTGGCACCTGGGGAGTCACACTGGGCTCTCTGCTTGTTCTTACACCCCTGATATGCATCCCAGTATTCATTCTGGTCTCACTATATAGGGTGAGTGAACTCAGATTTTCTTGTATTTATTTCTTTAACTCTTCTATATAAGGTGACCTTGAGTGTTTTAAAAGGCATCGAAAATGAAATGTGTTATCACTATAATAAAATATTTTTTAATACAAATTATTAACTAGGATAAAGCTAAAGCAGTATTTTTCAGCACTTGTAAGATTCTTCTATTGTGTGACTAGCTCATTACATTAATTGCATTTCTCTAAAAACAATCAGGATCCTGAAAACATGAGTACACCATCCAGTGACCTGCGCCAGAGTCGGCCACATAACCCAGGGCTCACATTGTTTAATTATGTCATAGTCAAGGCACAGGGGCAGCCAAACATGAGGGTGGAGTATAGAGAAGACAAGCTGGTAATGGAAGAACCTGGTAGTGCTTGATGTTTGCTGATGAAAGTTTATATTTTCACCTATTAAGAAAAAAATATTCCTTTTATATAAATGATTATATCTTAAGGGTCTTCAGGGGTATTTGTTTGTTCTTTTGTTAACATGAGTTTTTACCTTACTACTCTTTTGCTTATGAATAACAGAGTCCTTTGCATTGTACATGTACCTGTATACCTCTAATCCTGCATACTGTAACTGGATTAAAAGAGCACTCTGCTGATTTAACATTGTGCTTTTTGTAACACTTATGGAGTCATGAGGAATAATAGTTTAGCTTACGTATAAATTATCCCCTGTGACCTGCACCTCATAACACCTCAACTTTGACATGCAAAATCTGTGCCATGTCACATTAAACTATAATGCATTAAAACACGTCTTAATTTGAGTTCTGGTCTATTTTTACCAAAAAAATGCAAATTTCTTGTCTTCATTAAATGCAATATACATACAGAACTTTCACATCCAGTGAAATTAAGGCCAATTGCATTGAATATGAATTGTTTGATTATTTTACTGTATGTAATAAACTGTAAGTTTTTTCATGAATTTAAAGGTTGCTATTTTGTAAACCATTTTTTAAATTTTTGCAAATATTGCAATCTGTCAAATCAATCAATAAAAGTGGACAGATATGGATGATTTTGTGTTTTATGTGGTTGTAGCTTGTGCAAGCAATGACAATATAACATATCAACACGCTAAATATCCCAGTCTATTCTATGCAAGTCAGTTTAATCAATTAAACTCACATTTCCTGTTTTGTATCAAGAAAAAAAAAGCATTACATTTATCTTCCTACCGTGTTTTTTTGTCACGCATGTCTGTGGTTACAAGAAGGCAATAATGCAGCGTTGATGTGTGATGGCACTGGATGTGTGTGACTAGCAAATGTGCTAATGCTCTGTCATTATGCCATGCTCATTCATCTGTGTGATCCAAACTGGCATTCAATTAACTGACAATTCCGCCCAGTTGTCTTCCACCTCTCGTCACCCTCAGTCCCCCCCGCTCGTCCTACACTGACATAAAATGACCCTCACTCCTGAGTGTCACTCAGCATCGGATCCCGGCAGGTCTCCACTCCTAGCCCCCCCACTGTACGCCTTGTACACCTATGACTGCGCACCAACCCACCTAACCAACATCATTGTCAAGTATGCCAATGACACAACCGTGGTTGGGCTCATCAATGATGGAGATGAGACTGCGTAGAGAACTTGTCCCACTGGTGCTCAGAAATTAACCTGAAGCTGAACGTCTTTAAAACGTCTTTAAAACAAAAGAACCACTCCCCTCCCAATATGAATGGAGAATCTGTCTCTGCCTTCAGGTTTCTGGGCACCCACATCTCCATCAATCTCCTCTGGATCCACAACACCAACAACCTTGTAAAGAAGGCCCAGCAGCGGTCTAGAATAACCTAGACCAGAAGATGCTGCTGGGCCTCTACGGCTCCTCAGTGGAGAGCATGCGCTCCTACTGCCTGGATGTGTGGGTTGAAGCGGCCACAACTGTGAACAGGAAGTGCAGGGTAATTAACACTGCCCAAAAATGAATTGGCTGCCCTCTGCCTGTCTCAGGAAAACCAGGGCCATTATAGGTGACCCCTTGCACCCCACCCACCACCTGATTGGTCCGTTCCCCTCTGGTCGGCGCCTCAGGCAAATCAGGTCTCACGTCTCCAGACTAACAAACAGCTTCTTCCACTGGGCCATTTAGACTGTCAGTAAATACTACCTCCTCACACCCCACCCCTGCCCACTCACCTCAGCAGTTTCAGCCATGGTCTGAGCAACCCTCATCACCCAGACCACTCACACATGGACTCTATTCTGACCAAGGCTTTTCTTTGCATTTCTTCCAAGAACATTGCAACTTGTTCTCTAATATGTGCCTTGCTCTTATTGTTGCCTCTCGGTGGTTCTAATCTTGTAGATGATTGTTCCATATTTTTATCAATGCACTGTATATTGACAGATCTGTGCTTATATTAGAAGCAGAGGATCCCTGAGGCCGAATATACAACTATAGGTTTGCAAGTGTGCAGGACTTCCTGTATTTATAATTAGTTCATCCACCCACAGGGCTTTACATAATAAGCCACTACCCCACTGTGACACTGAGCCAGAGCCACTGTAATGGAAAACCTAAATCCCATGCCATGGGTGCCAAGAAATGACCAGATCATACCCCCTACACCCCCACCCCTCGCCCTTCAAACACACACACACACGCTCGCACACACATGTCAAAACAAATACAAAATCAACAAGGTAAAAGGCTGGGAGGTCTTTAACAGATGATATGGAAACATGTCACACTTTAAAACACCCTTTAACCAAAGCGAATCTCTGCCTCAGAAACATAGTTTCCTATTTCCATAACATTATATACAGGACAGAACTAGAAGGACGTTAATTCAGTGTATGAATCAAGCTCCAAAAACATTTCCCATTGGACTTTTCTTTTGTGCTGATTGATAAATGTTGACAACTAAAACTAAAACTCGTTTCCAAATTTCATAAAATGAAAGGGAACCAAGTTGAAAAAAAAGAAAACGATTTTCAAGTGGAATGCACCTGTAAGATTTCCTGAGAAAATTCCTGCACCTATTTCCCATTTTCCTAGCAAAATCTAAAGGAATAAAGGATGGCTTAAGACTTTTGCGCAGCACTGTGTACAGGATTTTAAAAGCAGCTCTGTCTTAAGTGGTTCATCCTGTCAAGATAGCCTCCATGTAAGTGTTAGTTTCAGACCCCTTTAAAAGAACCATTGGCCTCTGTCCGGTCCTGGGCCCCTTTCCAAGAAGCATCTTAAGACAGAGATTGTAAATCCATTTTATGAAATAATCACAGATTAATGAGTAGTTCGCGTCATATATGGCTAAGAGCATCTCCAAAAGGTCAATAACCCTCAGGATTCACTGTGAACTACAGAATTCATTTAGGGTTTTTATCTCTTTATAGCCAAGGAAAGTACTTCGGCAAGGAGACATCATTTGAAAGCAGAGTTCGAGTAATAAAAGTATTTTGGCCATCAGACTGCTACATAGCTGAAGAAAGGAATTAGGACAGGACCCTGGAGTATCTACACTCCAAGCTGACTGATGATGGAGACTTTGGACGAGACTCTCTGAACATCCAGGATAAGGTGAAGATGGAAAGGAGGAGAAAGGTTTCACGAATGATGGTCTGAAAGTAAGAATGACAGAATAGTAATGAGTTTTAAAAAACAGGGATCAGAGAAAGTTTAGCTCTGGGAAGGCGGGCAAGATCATCTTTGGATCAGAGTAGTGAGGATGAAATTAGTAATGAGGGGAGTGTGACACTGTGAAAGAGCTAATGAGTGTAAGAAAAGCACAGCAGGAATAAAGGTAAATGTGAATTAACAGATCTTCTTTACTGAACTTCATTGCAACAACATCTGCAACATTACTAATAACATTACTAGCATGGGAAAGAATCGTTATAGGTTAATTATTAATATAACATCCGTGCGTTTTAATTGCATATAATTAGCCTGATGAAACCAAATAGAATAGATTGATTTCATAATTGATTGAATTGAATAGCTTTGCGCTACTTTGGTTTTGGTGATAGCCTTAAAGTCTTTTTATAAGGCATGTTGCTTGCTTAGCTGAAATTGACAACATTTAAAACACAAAACTGACTGTTAAAAAAAAGTTTTGTTTCTAACTCTACAGAATTTAGCAACTGGGGATTGGCTGCTCCTGCGAGGGCCTCAAACGACCACTCCTCCTCTGCATAGCGAGTCCCTGGAACGACCGGCTCATGTCGATCTTTGGGACCGACTGAGGCACGGCCACCCCTCATGCAACTTCTAGGATTCATGCGTTTTATTGTTATTCCCCCAGATTTATTCACATGAAGTGAAACAAAATTACTGATTAAGGACAACAACAACAACACACATCAAGAGAAATATATATATATATACAAAAACAACAATATTTATAGTGTAGTATGAAAAAGAAAATGACTAATGTAAATACAAAAATCAAATAAGAAAGGAAAGGCAGTTTCCAAGCATCAGAGTTGTATGCAGTGGATAGTGTAAACGTTATTTGTGGCTGGGGGCAGCAGAGGTTACAGAGGATCACTACAGTTTAACAGTCTTACAGTCCTCCGTCTGGTGGGTATGCTCTTGATGCATTGCAGCCTCCTGCCCAAGCGGAGGGTGGCAAACAGTGTGTGCTGGCTGAATAGATCCTTTCATTTCCAGGAGGATCTTTTCCTGCATCTGCTGATGAAATGTCTTGAGCATCTTCAAAAAAAACCCCTTCTTCATAGGGTTTTTCTGAATCACTCTTACCTATCTTCACCTACTCTCATCTATGGGCATGAGCGCTGAGTAGTGACTGAAAAGAACCAGTGGTAATAAGCTTCCTCTGAAAGCTAGCTGGGCTCAGTCTTACAATAGGGTGAGGAGCTCCGCCGTTTGAGAGGGGCTCAGAGTACAGCCACTACTCCTCAACATTGGTTCGGCCACCTGAATAGATGTCTCCTAGGCCCCTCCTGAATGAGGGATGTCCTACCAGGAGTAGACCCCGGGTGGAGGTAGCCACGAGAAAATCAGTAGATGGATCTAAAACGCTTCCTTCTAAATACACATGACATTTTCGAGATGGATGACTTTTTCAGTTGCACATGCATCATTATGTGTCACATTTATAGCTGTCACTCTCTGCCAGTGTATCTTCACTGATGTTTAATGATGCTGTTGATTGCTAGCTTTGTTCAGAAAAAAAAGACAGAAAGAAAGAATGAAAATAATCTCTGGCTATCATTCTCAAGATAAAGGCCACACATCATGCATCACGGTGGTAGATTTCTAACAGAATGAGCTGAGGTTTTTAAGGCTCTTTACTTCTTTAGGGCTTATATGGTACATGATGATCAGTAATGCAAGGTCAAAAGCATTTGAGACACTTACAAAGATAAAAATGACTACGCTGTAATGGAGGAATAAAATTAAAATGAGGCTGTGATATATCTCCATGGGGGACAACACACTTTTTAGTGAGGACTGTGAAACTGTACTGCATTCTGGTATCAAGAAAACTGTAAATGCAGACGTGTCATTGGCCTCCTTCACTTCTCTTATCTGAAGTTCTCTTTCACACAGTTTTTCTTCCTGACTCCAGGAATGGAAGGCTCTTCCTCTGTGTCTTACAGTCATTTTCTCTTTTCTTTGTATCTTTTCATCTCACTCTCCTCTTATCTACCAGGCACGGCTGCAATATATCAGCTTTTCCATTTTTATCTCACTATCTTTTCACTCTGCCTCCCAACTCGTATCTATACCTTTTCTCCTCTTTCGTCGCAGAGATTGCTCTGCCCCTAGCTCGCTCAACTTTCATCTTTTCACCCTTTCCTTCTCATTAACACAATCATGCTCTCTCTGATGTGCACCTCGCCCAGCGTTTGTCCTTAACCCGTGGAAATTTATGCGCCATGCATCGTCTTGCTGCAATTCTGGATGAAAATGTTAGTAATATTAGCCTCCCATCTATGCATGCCAATCGCCTCTGGGTGTCCCTTGCTTTATAATAACCCCCGCATCGATTCACAGACCACGGCACGTGCTGAGAATTAAAGGCAGATTGCAAGGAGGCCTCAAAGACAGCATTTTTTCCCCTTAAACTGTTATTGAGAAATGTTTTTCATATAACTGAGCTGAACTGAAACATGCAAATCTACTACTTTGATGATATAATGGTTCAGCACTTGAGTTGCAGTGGTTGAAATTGCCTCATGCTGCATACAAAAAATATGAAAGGATAAACTGTATATAGATTGTCTTATTACTATTTTGAACACTTTTATTGGGGCTTATTTTACTTCACCAACTTTGCCGTTGGTTTTTGTTAACATGCCTTTTATTAGGATAGAATATGTGCTAATATGTGGATGTGAGTAATGTATAATGTGTTGTTATTTGACACCAAGCAATGATGTAATGTAATACAAATGGAATACACATACCACTGCCATTTACTAACAGTAAATTGTAATATATAATACATATATAATAATAAGTAATATATTCAATTCAATTCAGTTTTAATTATATTGCTCCAATTCACAACAGTCACCTCAAGGTGCTTTATATTATAAGATAAAGACCCTGCAATATTACAAAGAAAACCCAAATATCAAATGGTGCCCTATGAGCAAGAAGTTAGTGACAGTTTGAAGAAAAAACTTTCTTCTTTAAAAAATAAATAAATAAATAAATAAATAAACTCCTTTAACAAGAAGAAACCTCAGGCAGAATCAGGCAGGGAGGGGCAACTATCTGCTGTGACTGGTTGGGGGTGAGAGAAAAGGGAAGAGAACAATCTCAGAGTGATGCTGAAAAGCATATTTTTAATGATATTGCACAAACCAGTGAGTAACACTATGCACAACATTTGAGTGTCCCTCCTTAAACTGGACAGTAAGCACATAAATAATGTAGCATGTGCTAATTAGCACACAGCTCAAAGTACAGCTGAAGCAAACGGGAATGTGCTTAGCTTCACTGTTAACTAGTCCCGCATGCTGACATGCCAACGTATGCTAGTTAGCACAAAACCCCTAAAGTAATTGAAATAAATATAAATAAACTTAGTTTTACTGGAGTATGGTCATGAATGTACTTTTTACACAAAAATGATTTTAACCCGTAGCCTTCGAGATTGACCGCATCATAGTGGGGGTGATGAAGGTGATGTTCCATTTCAAAGACTCCTTCAAATGCAGCCTTCTTTTCCTGAACTTCAAAGGATACATGATGGCACCACTTGGATTTATAATCAGCACCAATCCATGCGTCCATTAGAGTTTCATTTCAAAGTGAACTAATTCTGATATTTCACTATGAACCAAAGCTGGGAACTTTGTTTCCAAAGGCCTGATTTCTCAGGTTTGTTATGTGTGAGTCATTACTTTGCTTTACTTTCCTGCAATGAAATAATGCTGAGTCATCACAGAGACAACCACTTAAACAGAATAAATCAGACATCCTTTATCTATTGACCCCACAGGATTTACTGCAACAGAACGCTGTCTAAAGAAAGTTTTCAATTTACAGAGTTTAACTTTTTTTGAAACAGCACACATGATTTATTTTTGAATTGTATATGAGCCATTTATCAGCTTTTTGAGAAACAGTTTGTCGCTACGGGCACTCATTAAGTGGTGACAGGAGCAGTGCTCATACATACAAATGACTTTACCATTGAAGTTTATCTAAACATGCAGAGTCAGCAAATGTCTAAAGTACCCTACTCGATATGGCTGCTGTTAAAAGATTATAGATTTCCCATAATGTAAATAAAACGCATAAATATTTGAAGATGCTCAACAGCAGCTATAAGACTACTGCACTGAACTGCATTTGTACTTGTGTTTCAGAAAGCTGACAAGGACCACTGCGGCACTTTCATGGTGATAAACTGTACTTTTAGGCAGCGTGATAATCTCTGCAAAACGTTAACTTCTCCCTTTATGATTATGAAGTGTTTCCTCTGTGTTTTGCAACCTTCTCTGCCCTTTTCCTCATTGTGTCATTTAAAAAGAATGCTGACATTTATTTTATTACGAAAAAGTGAGTCTAAAATTAATCAAATTGTAAAATAATCCTAACAACAAGCCCTTTTAAAAATGTATTCACTTATTTTGATATTCAGCCTCTGTTGTCAACACAATCGCTCTCAATTATCTTTGGCAATAAATGCCCTGGAATTATAATCAGGCTGCACTGATCATGGGGACGCTGTAAACAGATTGATGAAAACCAGCTTTGACAACTCCAATCCACCCAGTTATCATCATGTGGCCACATGGGCAATAAACCACAGCGGAGATTACGCTGAATCTGTTCTTGATGGGAACAACTCACTATGGGTGTAATTAAGGCTTAATATGATCTAATCTCTCACTTTTGAAACCCTGAGTCTATCAGCGATCCTGATCCACCAGCAAACCATTGGGCATTGTGGGAATGTTCATTAGTCACTGTAATTGGCTGGTGATAGAATATCTGGACCAGATATTAAAGCCAGGAGGTTACCTGCCAGGAGAAACAAGAAATTCACGTCTCTTATCTAATTCCATTATTAATAACGGCAACAATGTTTTACTGTCACTTGAGTAATTAAAAATACAGTGTGGATAACATCACTCGATCATTATTGTAGCCTTTTTGTGCACTTTTGCGGACTTCCTTTTCCAATAAGAACAAGGCAGTATAGGTAGTAGATCCTAAAAAGCATGAAAAGAGTCTCATTTATATGTATTTAAAGAAGACTCACAATGTGACACGCTCTTGCTGGAATGAGCAGCTGACCTTAATATATATCATTACCAATTTTATGACTCTCTACTTGTGCTTGTAAGCGGTTTATTTAAGATTCATTGTGAGGATGAGCTTTAATAGCAGAATGTGAATTTGTGAACGTGCCTTGGGTTGCTGCTTTACTTAAAGGTACACTCAAAAATTGTTTTACTCCCATGTTTTACTGAAGCAGCAAGCATGTGATGCTGTGTATTTTCATACACACGTCCCTTTTGGTTATCCTATTAAGTAACAATGGTCATTTTTCAAACTGGCTGCAGAAATGAAACTGATTTTATACACCCCCTGTGTCCTATAACCCCTTCAAGCGAGGACATTGCAGATGGATATTAGGTCACTTTCTGCATCAGTGTGGTCAGAGTCTGATACTGGCATGACCACATTTGTGATCATACTTTTCCAGGGTCTCTGCCAGCAACCATTGCTGGATTCATTTTCCAAAACTCCATGAGCTCTTTCACTGATCAGGCACTTCTCTGTTGGGAAATACCATGGTAACGGCGCTGGCAAGAGCTGACCTTGGCCATCATAACAAACACATATGCATAATGCACAAACACACACTCTGCTGCTGCTGCTGCTGCTGCTGCTAGAGTTCCCCACCAGAGCTAGGCAATTGACATACTGTATCCCCCATGGCCACGGGGCCTCACTAGTCAGAAGTGAACAGTAATCAAAGTAGACACACAGGTCGAACTTTATTATCAACCACTCGATACCAGCTGCAAGTCCTCCAACAGACAGCACACAGGAAAGAACAATTTGGATTTTCAGACACAGGGCATGGAGGATTGGTTTGAAGCTTTTCAACTTGATCCTTTTGGATGTTGAACTGAAGTTTCAGAACTTTAAGACCGCAAGTGTGGCACACTGAAGCTGATGACCTGACAAAGGACGTGGAAATCTCGTAGGTAGGACGGGATTCATTCCCTCTCTTTCACACTTTGTTTTTCACCGTTTGTCACTGAATCATGAAAATGGCAAGATAAACAAGCTAAACTGCACTTTTTTAATGGCTGATTTTGTAGCTGCTGGGAAATGCTAAACCTTTGTGCTAATGCACACCAAAGAAGCTGGCATCTAAAAGGCCTGTACTGTCAAAAAAAAAAAAAAGAACAAAAAATCTTTGAGATTAAATGGATAACATCCTCAAAGGGAATGTCTGATATTTTTATATTATTCCTTTGCCTTTGAAAAAACACTTGTTCTCACCTAGACAACTAGTTGAAAGTGAATATCTGATCATTTCATGGTGTTCTGCCCACTGAAATCTGATTAAATTACATAGTGTGGAACATGGTACATTTCACAGCATGAATATTTTTTGTATCCATATTGATTATATAACATTTTGCTTGTTTTAATTTTTAAAAGACCCAACTGCTTGTTTTTTAATCTGAACATGTCACTACGTGTACTTTTATGATATTTAGTACATGTTTATGAAAGGTTTCCTCAACATCATCAAAGGCTAGAATATAAATGAGGCACCTATGAACTATGGCTTTCCATTATGTTAGTTAAAGTACTATGAAAAAGACAGAAAACATTAACTCCAATAAGCAGTGTCACATCACTGAGAAACTACAGTAAAATGACCTGGAAGAAACAAATCAGAGTTGAGCAGAGAATGTCTTGTTTTTCCAGGAAATATACCATTAAACAGTGCTGTAATGTTAATAACCTCCAGCAATTGGCATAAAACAATTTGGACATTTTCTGGGCCAATCAATATTTGCAAGCATGAAACAACTTACACCCAGTGCTTAGATTAACCTTACCATAAAATGCTATTCAGGCATGAAGAGATCATTCCACAGCCAGTAAATGAAAAATTATTACCACTCTATCAAAAAAAGGAGGTAATATTCTTTGGGCAGACAATGTGTGACCAGCACCGGCAGGTGTAGATAACAGTAGGAATTTCTTGAAATTGTCATCATTTTGGTATTTCGGTGACCCAACGTGAACTTGACTCTGGTGGACTAGAAAGAAAGGTGCAGCAGGTTTGTTGGTAGTGATAAGAACATGTAGTTCAGTCATCTGGGTGCTCTAATAAGGCCAGTGGTGCTTTTTTGTGGCTTGAGTTGGTATACCCAAGTATAGCACCTAGATCAAACTCTTTAAAAATTATGCTTGTGCAAGTTATTTTAATATACATTTTAATATTTAATCTATTATATATTATTGGGTGCTTCAGTTATTTATTTATTGCAAATGTATTAGACCACCACCCAGGGTAAGATTTATCCTTAAGCTGCCATAAATATACATTATTGGTAAACTATATATTTATTTGTGTTTCTGCAATGACTAACCCACTGCTATGTGCAAAATCACAAAATGTTAGTTTTAATGCTAAAATATAATTATTGTTGTTATCTGTGAATTCTCAAATGTGCTATTTTATAAAAAGGCAGAAGAGAGTAAAGCACTTTTTTTTTTTGGTTTAGGATGTGAAATTACAGTTATTTATTTGCATTCCTGAAGAGAAAAATTAGTTTTAGCAATTAAATGTTCCTACTACTACTACTACTCCTAGGGATCTATGGATTAAAGTTAAAGCAAAGCAAGTCTGCTGTCCGTCTACAGAAGGCCTCTGTGAGCCTCGATCCTTCTAAGAATGCCGGGTTTGGTTTTTGTCCTTTTTTCGAATTCATATTTTCTGGAACTACAGATGTTTCTCAGTAATTTATGTGACAGCCATTAGCATTCGTTTTCAGAGGCAGTTGCCCAAGTTCATAAAAGGGCTCTAAAAGACTATAAAACTGTTTCAGTGGCAATAAATTGTGAATTGAGTGGTATTTCCCTCCACTAAAATATATGCACCACAAAGCCACAAATATTTGTATTAAATAATAACAACAGCAACAAACTTCTTCTTCTCTACTTTCATTTTCAAACTTTACATGCGTCCAGTGTCAGCGCATCATCCTGAATCCATCCAACTGAGATCCAAACGCAGTGTGAGGCACTCAACCGCAGAGACACTACAGAAAGGTGGCTTTCTGACCCCATTGGTCCACAGTGGTCCCATAATGGGGAAGACTGGGCAAAGTACAGTGGACTTGAACTCCCCTTCAGAGGTCAAACAAGCAGTTCCCTTTGAGGAGCTGGATCGTGTGGCGCCCCCTGCAGATAATAAGAAGAATGTGGAAGAGCCTCCTGACAGGGGAAGCTGGAAGGGCAAGTTTGATTTCCTCCTCTCATGTGTTGGATATGCCATCGGTTTAGGAAATGTGTGGAGGTTTCCCTATTTGTGTGGCAAAAATGGTGGAGGTAAGAGCTATGCAATTTATTAGAACTTCAGAGTTTTTCTAATTCCTGTATACAAGCTCTTACCAAATATATTTTGTTTGTCTGTTTGATGTGTTTGTATCAGGGGCCTTCCTGATCCCATACTTTATGACACTGGTCTTTGCTGGGATACCACTTTTCTTCCTGGAAACAGCTCTGGGACAGTTCACTTCAGTTGGAGGACTTGGGGTGTGGAGACTAATCCCTATGATGAAGGGTAATGTATAAAGAAAAATATGGATTTACATTTCATTGTGTACATTTAGAATTCACCCATGTATATTCCGAGTAAGGATTATGAGCATCGTAAAAGCTATATACATCAGAAATCGGGGTTATTTTAGTGACTGAACTTGTTCCCATTCTGTGAGACCTTAATTACCTGTACAGGAACTTCCAGTGTCTTATTCTTTCCTGCTCCTTTCCATATTATTATTATTATTATTATTATTATTATTATTATTATTGTTGTTGTTGTTGTTGTTATCCACAATTATTTTTGACATCTTGCTAAATGCTCTCCTGTTTGGGGATAGCAATAACACCATTGCCCCGACACTAAAATAACTCGAGTGAAGCACTTCATTGCAGATCCTCAGGCAGCAGAGAGAGCAACAATGCCAGTGAGCGTGATGCAAAGCCAAAAGCAACTGAGCATTAGAAACAGCACAATGACAACTCTGCCAATAATAAAGATGATGATGACCATGTTAGTTTTTCTCTGTCACGCAACATCATTTTTAAAATTAGTAACTTGTGTATCTTTCCCCTCTTCCTTTCTTTTCATTACATACAACCTTGCATGTTAGCTGACCTGTAAAACATTGTATTGTGCAACACTGACACTTGTTCTCGCTTCAGGAGTTGGTCTGGCTGCAGTTGTTTTGTCCTTCTGGCTCAACATCTACTACATTATCATCATTGCTTGGGCGCTCTACTACTTATTCAACTCTTTTGGTTCGGTATGTTACATAATCAGTAGCAAACCTGCAACACAGAAAAGAAGTTGTAAACACTGTCATACATGCTAAGTTGAGTCAACCTGTGCTTGTCTTTGAATCCAGCATTTATGTAGCAACTTCATTAGTCTTCAAGAACTATCTTTGTCATTGACTTTGTCTATTTGGTATCAAGTGAGCACAGTCTACAAATTTTGGAACAATTTTAGAACAAAATTCCTCAATATAAAACAGCCAAGACTTTGAATATCTCATTGTCTTTAGTCCATAATATCATCAAAAGATTCACAGAATCTGGAGAAATCTCTGTGTGCAAGAGATAAGATCAAAAATCAGCATGAGTACATGTTAGCTTTGTGCCTTCAGGAAGCACAGCATTAAAAACCGGCATCATTATGTCATAGACGCAACATCCTCCGCACTAACGAGCAGAGGGAGCATCTGGCTTGTTATTAGCACTCAGTTCCTAAGCACGCATCTTGCCAGGCTTTTGGACTGGGCTGATATTGCCAAAGCCAATTAGGAATAGGGAGCTTGCTACAAAGGCACTGTCAGTGCTAAAGGATATATGCAGGTTACAGTACAACATAAACTCCCATAACGATGAGCAAAATAAAAACAAAATATGATTTACGAGATTATATTTCTGTTTTAGTTACATTTTACACAGTCCCCCAACTCTTTTGGAATTAGGGTTGTTGGTCTTCATCAGCAGAAAAAGCTGTAAAACTTATTAAAATAAGAAAAGATAAAAAATAAAATAAAAATGTAAAAGTTTAAGTTTATACCCTGTTTCACATTTTCCAGAGCCATCCCGTGGGCCAGACTGGAGTCTTTACCAGGCTAATTCTTGCCCCCGGGCCTTATATTTGACACCTTTTCCTCCATTTATTTTAAAAGTTGCTGTAGGTCCAATACGAAACCTGCTAATTTATACTAATCTTATAGTATGTTGGACTCAGTTTTCTTTTATCCCATTTTCCAGACATACTTTTGCCACCTCGTCCATAAGTAAGGTTATTTAGGATTTGTTTACCATCTTTCTCAGTGTGCAGTGGTTTTCTTTCTCTGCATTATCATTCTGCTTTGGTATTTCTCTGCATGACTGGCTGCCTTTAAGAAGCCCGATGGCAGAAATGTAAAGACTTTGCAGGCATGAGTTTCTTGTACTGGGAAAACTACGAAGCAGGAAAAAAAGGGTTGTCATTGTTGTTCAGTGTTTTTAGCTGAAGGTCAAAAACAGACTGAGTTCATTAAATGTCATTTTCACTGTTGGGTGGTTTGCCTTTCTGTCTCTGTCGTTGTTTCTTTTGTTTGGGAAAGTCTTTGTGGTGCTGTCTGTGTCTCAATGAGACATGTTTTTTTTTTAAATTTACAAAGTTTTGTGTTAACTCTGAAGGTTTTTTGTATTGGGATACAGGTAATATATTTTGCAACAGTGAGTTTGCAGTTTTGATGATTTTTCCTCCTAGAACCTGTTTTTGTTCATGCATACTGTATGCTGTGTATGCAGGAGCTGCCTTGGCAAAGCTGTGATAACCCCTGGAACACGGAAAAATGTTTTTCCAACTACAGTCTGACAGACACCACCAACATGACCAGCGCTGTCACCGAGTTTTGGGAGTAAGTTAATATGAGATATTCTGCACGAGAATGTATAGAGAGGTATATCTGGAAGCTCTTGGTGCTTATCTCCGTCTGGATTCAAAGAATGCCTGTGTGTGTTTCTGAAGGCGTAACATGCACCAGCTGTCTAATGGCCTGGAGGAACCAGGAGAGCTACGCTGGCCCTTAGTGGGCACTCTTGGGCTGGCGTGGGTTCTTGTCTACTTCTCAATCTGGAAAGGAGTTGAATGGACGGGAAAGGTGAGTCTCTCTGCCCCCGTTTCTGTTAATTCTCTTCTTTTGTGTTGTTTAGGCTTTGTGTTTTCATCAGTCTCAGACCACTCGGTTTACACTGGCCTGTATTTTTATCAGCACCTCTTTCTGCCTCCCACTCCCTTAATATTAAAGCTTTAATCATGAAAACATGACCAGACGTCGAGCTTTTTATGATGTAAACCTCATGTTGTTGTTGTTGCCCGAGTAAGTGAGTGAAACCTAATAAAAGGAAACATGAATTCAGAGATATTAAAAGTTGAACATTTGTATTTTTTTAGGACTACTAGCTGCAGCAGGCTATAAAGTTGGTGCGTTCAGCATATTTGAGAGTCAGATGCAACCAGTGGCATGGAAATAACAAAAAAATCTTCATTTTTTTCTTATCTGACTGAAGCACCGATCAGTTGAAAATTATGTTTAATTTTCAGTTTTTGTTTAAATGTATTTAAATCTTTCATGATTTCCTGACTCTTCTCTTAAATCATCTCTCTGTTTGAGTGCACCCTCTTTCATTACTAAAGTTTTATGTATCTGAATATAAAAGCTAACCTGGTCCGTGGCACATCATAAAATTATTTTAATAAAACTTAAAAGGAACAACAATGCTGCATATATTACAAAGTGTCATTATTTATGCCATTTTTGTTTTATATTATATAATGATGCAGAAGCTGTGTGTGAAAAAGTGCACCCTCACTCACTCTCTCCATAGGAATTAAGAGGGTAAGTAGAAGCCAGGTGCTGCTAATCACATTCAACTGATTAATCATCAGCAAGTTTGTGCAAGCTTTTTCATGAGTGCAAAACATTCATGACAGTTGCCAGTCTTCCCAGGAGCAAATTCAACCCAAGGTCAGATGGTGCAATTGCAGACAAACTGCATAAAAAACCAAGAGCTACATCTTAGCCTTAGTTAACATTTTAAATGTTAAAATTCATAACAGTACAATTAGAATAAATGACTGAAAAAGTTATGGCAGTACGGCTTAGTTACATCTAAACAAACTACAGGATTTCTGGAACAGATGAGACCAGTGTGGAGATGTTTGGCCACAATACCCAGTGCCATGCTTGGCAAAAACCAAACAAGCATATCAGCACAAACACCTCATACCAGCTGTCGAGGACAGTAGTGGAAGGTTGCACCTACATTTTGAGTTGACCGTGAACTCATTTGTATAGCAAAATACTCTAGCATCAAATGCAAAACCATATGATAGCTAAAGGTTAGTCGAAAACGGAGTAGTTGATCCCGAGCACAGCAGCATATTTACAACAGAATGTTTGATGTAAAGAAATCAAGGTAATTCAGTGCCCAAGTCAAAGTCCAGACTTCAACCTGATTGAAGAGACTTTAAGAGAGCTGGGAGAAAATTCCTTCACAATGATCTGAGAGACTGAAAAGTCATACAGAAAACCATCACTTCATGTTATTTCTGCTAAAGACATCTCTATGAGCTACTGAATCACTGGGTGCACTGTTTTTCACACACTGCTTCTGCATTTTGGTTTAGTTTTTGTTAAATAAATAATGATATATTAAATTGCATTTAATATAGAACCTGCTAAGAACCAAATCATTGTTTAGGATGTCCTGATATCTTAAACCTAAGAACCGAGAGACAGTATTTTCTTCCAGTTTCAGATGTTTGCATCCGCTGTCATTTTTCTGTGCACATCCAATCTCTCTTTTACCATTTTATTCAAATTGAAATAGAAATAGCTTCAAAATGCAAGATTTGACTACTGCTGGACAATTTAGAGGTGATAGAAAAATCTTCACTTTGCCTACTACCTGGGATTTCAAATTACAGCAAGTAAAGTATATGAGCAGAAACACATTTACACATTCACCGCCAGGGATAATTGGATTTTAATGTGCGGCATCTGAGAGCAGTGAGAAAAATGAATTCCCCAAAGGCCCTGGCCTTGATGGACATTACCAATTAAGGATAATCATCATGCACAAGAACTATGGGACACATCCTACAGATCTTTTGGCAAAGAGAAACGATGGAAATATTTCAGTAGTTCCCTTTTCTGTACACTGTTTTGCATCTCTTTTGATGTAATTATTTAGAGCAAATAGCATGTTTGCAATTTTGATAATTTGAAAAGCAAAGCCATCTCAATATCTTAACAGAAATGTGTTTAAAAATATGCAAACAGCATACTCAGTCCTATAAAATGTTTTGGACTTTTCAACATTTTTAATTCTCTTTCATTTAAATAATTAAAAATAAATCATTCTGTCTTTCAGGTAGTGTATTTCTCAGCCACCTATCCCTACTTCATGCTGTTCATCCTGTTCTTCAGGGGGGTCACACTCCCTGGAGCCATAGATGGGATTCTCTTCTACATTACTCCAGACTTCAATAAGCTCGTCCGATCTGAGGTTCATAGTTTGCACAAATCCACATCTAATCACCCACGCGTCTTAACAAACAAACACCAGTAATTACACTATGTTGTCTCACAGGTGTGGCTGGATGCAGCAACTCAAATCTTCTTTTCATACGGACTGGGCCTGGGATCGCTCATCGCATTGGGAAGCTACAACTCTTACAACAACGATGTCTACAAGTAGGAGCAGGAAATCCAAAGTGTTGTAGAATCCTCTTTTGTAGACGATGCACAGACAATGATGCTCTTTTCTTCTCTGACTGATGTTTTCTCTTTAGGGATGCAGTCATAGTATGCTGCATCAACTCTTGCACCAGCATGTTTGCTGGATTTGTCATCTTCTCCATCGTAGGCTTCATGTCCTACATCACGAAGAAACCCGTGCACGAACTGGCAGCTTCAGGTGAAAGTCATATTTTATAACTTATAAGAAATTGTTCATTATTCACATTTGATTACTTCTGGATTAAATATTTTTAATGTACATATTAGAAGCAATATGAAGTTTGAAACTAAAAAACATTTTAAAAATAATAATATAATATTGCATACAGACACAGGCCATCGGTGGTCAAAGAGAGAAAAATATTTGATGTGGTTTTACTAAATTAAGCACAAATTGCTACTATGTGCAGGTTTAAAATAATTATTCTCACTAATCAGATGGTAGGGTCAGAATTTAGCATAAACAACATGAAAGCACAGATTCATCGTGCTTTGCATCAACAGTTCCAGATAAATGCTATTTGTAATATTTTCTTGGCACACATTAGGTCTCTTAGTAACTCCTTAGTACCAGCTGAGCATGTTTAAACGGCACAGCCTTCCTGAGTACTGTTTCTGACCATTTCCATCTATTTATGACCTCAGCCGTCTTCTGATGGCTGCTTGCAACAGGATTATGTGCCATGTTATGAAGTTTGAATCACCATCTCAAATGACCTCTGTAGTTACCAGATCTCAATCCAGTTGATTGGTCCAAGTTGGTGCAATCAACAAATCTGCACCAACTGTCTGATGCAATCAAGTCAGTAAGGACCAAAATCTGTGAGGATGTTTCCAGAACCTTATTGAATCTATGCCAGGAAGGATTAAAGTAATTCTAAAGGCAAAAAGAGGTCAAAATAGGTATTAACGATGTGTATCTAATATAGTAATTCATATAATGTTATAAGTTAAAGCATTTATAATTTTAATAATTTGTCTCGTTTGCAATTTTTAGGTCCAGGGCTGGCATTTTTAGCGTATCCTCAGGCAGTCACACAGCTTCCCATGTCCTCGCTATGGGCCATCCTGTTCTTCTCCATGCTCATGATGTTGGGCCTGGACAGTCAGGTACCGTCAATCCAGATGTTGTAATAGAGATATTACAACTGATTAATTGGTGATTGCTATAAGTTTATAGATGAACTAAACTAAGATACTGGTGCTCTCTTATAATAACAAACCACATTCTTCACGTCATCGTGTTTTAGTTCTGCACAGTAGAGGGCTTCATCACAGCTCTGATGGATGAATATCCCATGGTTTTGCGAAAGAGGAAGAAGGTCTTCATCCTCATTGTCTGCTTCATCTCCTTCATCGTCGGCTTCTCTAACATCACGCAGGTGCTGCATGAACTCTGCATTAAGTCACTATAAAATGAACACAGTAAAGAGGGTTTTAACCATCCAAAGAATGCGTGTAAACCTGTTTAATATTATAAGAGGACGGTCTTGAAACCCAGCTCGTGTGAACTCTTGCGCATTTTTCCGACACAAGGGAAAAGAGCTCTTGCATTATGCATAATGACAAAACGATCTCACAACAACCTGCGGTGTACTCTCATCATGTATATTTTATTCAATGAAGAGAGGGATGGTAATATTTGGTCTCTAAAGTAGTTATGCGTGTTCCTGTATGTGTGATGAAATCTCCTAGGGTGGTCTCTATGTGTTCAAGCTGTTTGATTACTACTCCGCCAGTGGGATGTGTCTGCTCTTCCTCGTCTTCTTTGAAACCATTTCCATATCCTGGTTTTATGGTAGGAAATCCATTTTCTTTTCACTAAAAAAAAGAAGAATTAAAGCAAATATTGCAACTTGAAATTAAATGTAACCACATTGGTAATAATTTGAGTCATTCTGGACGAAATGTAACAATGACTCCAGCATTTAAATTTCCTACTTAGCTGTTCAACAGGAAATTACATCTATAAATCTCTGCCATCTTGGCTTCCCTTTCCCACCCCCACCATTATGGCTTTGTTCTGGCAGTCGCTCTCTCCTCATTAACACTAACACTCCCTTTGCCCTCCTCTCTTTATGCCGCAGGAGCCGAAAGATTTTATAAGAACATCGAGGACATGATCGGCTATCGGCCATGTGGCTGGTGGAAGCTTTGCTGGATGATCTTCACACCTCTAATTTGCTTGGTAGGAGAAAACTGATTATGGATTTGACCTCTATGACCTTCACCTAGAGGTGCTTAATTCTTTAAATTTGTAATTTTCAGTCAGGCTTTGTTCTTCTGCCAGGAAATCTAGGGATCCATCAAGCTAAAGCACTGGCCTTAGGTAGAGAATTGATCTAATTTGTATTCTAATTTGTATTTGACCTCATGGACGGTCAGGTCCTTTGGGAAATCTTGCAAAGTTAGTCCTGTATTGAAAAAGAACACTGAGGGAAATTTGGAAGAAATTGCAAACTAGACAATGCTTTGATAATCTGATTGTCTAAGAATAAGCAGAATGTTATTTTAACCAGGAACACTGTTGGATAGTTTGTCTGTTGTCGCATGTGGTCTAAAAGAAAAGCTAATGACAATTAACCTCGACTGGACTGTTAGCATGCTAACTCATGCAAGTCAATAAAGTACACATTGTACTTGGTGAACAGAGGTATTTCAGCAGGTATTTTTGTGTGGGTTAGCATGCTAGTATTTTGCTCAAAGCATGGCTATGTCTAATGATGCAAAACCCCATCAATCTACAGTATGTGCAAAAATCAATGCTTGTTTCTATATATTTCACATCTAAGGAGCTAGACCTTAGTGCCACTTTTGAAAGTATTTCAAGTTTAATCTCAAAATGTAAACTCGTATATAAAAAAGTGCTTTTGTTGTTTGTTTTTTTCTTACATATATTTGCTTCCGTTGCGCATCCATGTTTTCTGAACATCTGTTTTGGATTTTGGCTTTAATTTTCACTCTTCTTCAGTTCAGTCCTTGTACCTGATCATTTTCAGAGGAATTCAAGTTTTGTTGTTGCTTGTTAAGACATTTAACACTGACTCATTAAAAAATAAAGTTACACCTGACAGGGAGCGAAACAAAAGGCGTCCAACATCCAAAGAAGAGCTTTGAATGTCCTTGAGAACTAATCCTGAAGACTACTTAAAGAAAGTCACCAAATACTTACCTTTACATCGTTAGACTATTTTTTATTTTTATTTTTTACCTTATTTGCTGTATATCTATGTATGTTTGCACGTGTTGAATAAACTCCTGCAACCATCTCCCATTTTCCTAGCAAAGTCTTGGCTCAAGACGTTTGGACAAAACTGCTAAGCACAAGTTTCCTGGCTCATCTAGACCCTCAGGTTATGAATAATTACTGCACTGGAGTATATTGATATATGAATATTATAATTTTATTTTGTAGGGAGTGTTTACCTTTAGTGCCATTGAGATGACTCCTCTCACCTTGGGGAAGTATGTGTACCCCCTGTGGGGCCAAGCGATTGGCTGGCTCATGGCAATGTCCTCCATGGTACTCATCCCAGGCTATGTTATCTACATGTTCTGCAGCACCAAAGGCAGCATCAAACAGGTACAAACATCTTACACAACTCTCTCAGATTCTGATTTTAATCATCTCAGGCTAAAAGAAAATTATGCAATAAAGTGTTGAAAAGAGAATATACAGGTAACACATAAGATTAAAAATGGAAAAAGTCCTGGAAGGCTGAAGTTCATCTCTTATAAAGACTGTAGTTATTCAGGTAGAACAGAATTGATGGTTTTTGCTCAAGGCCGAGATTATTATTCTGGTTTTAGGCAGGAAAGTATATTTTTGAAGACGTGCACTGCTTGTGACAGTAAATATTTACAAAGCAGCTTTACGTCTCCGCTGCTGATTCCTGTGAGATATTTGTAACTTCGGGCTAAAAAACATATTTTGTTAACTTTTTACATTATTCATGTGTGAATGTGAGTACAATTTCAGCCAATACTCTCACCCGGGTTCAAATCATAATCATTTAATCGTATTGTGATGTAATAGTTGTTGTTTTTTTACATGTCCAGCGTTGGCGAAGGATGACAACTGCCCAGGAGGATGAAAGGCGATCAGGGCAGAATGAATTCACACACACAGACAGCGTGGGTGAAGCACTTGTCTAAACCTGATTGTCCAAGCTAAATAAATCTGTCTGCCAGGACTTAATGTAGTTAATATTGGAAGTTAACAATTTGATGGATGGATGGATGGATGAATGGATGCAGTAAATCTCTGGACTACAGTGTCTAACCATCCTTCAACTTGAGTTGAAGTAAATAAAGAAGATGAATAAGTATTTTTGACATAGATATTGTTTCAGTAAAAGTTATGGCAAGCAAGTGAATGATACAGGTCACAATAAACCTGTATACAAAGCCCATATGTACAATAAACCATCATGAATGTAAATCCACATGCTCTTCATAAATTGCAGCACAATGAAGGCCTTTGTTTATAACGTTACTGCAAATTTAATGAATAATGTTGTACTGCGAAATGGAACTGTTAAAACTGGTAAAACTCGATTTCAAGTATAAAACTCTATTAATGGGGAACCCCAATATTTCATTTAAAGAACCAACCAGTTACTGTGATGTAGTTATTCTCAGCAACACAGTATTGCTTCAGTTGTCTGTAGGTCACATTTATCTGACCAAGACCTAAAATGAAAAGTAATATTTCTCATGATAATCTTTACAATAAATAAGGAAATCTACACGTTATTTACCATATGCTGTTTTTCAGTTAACACAGTTTTGAAATACCTGTTTTTAGTTTTTAATTATGTATATTGAAGTTAAGTATGTATATTGAAGAGTTTGATTAAAATATTAGAGAACTGTAAATATAATTGTTTTGTTATATTTATGCACTGTCTATAAAACGTGGATGTAGGTCCAAGAACTGAGAAGTGAAGCCAATGTGGAAGTGCCTTAAACTTAAATTCATCCACCTGACCAGCAGGGGGCGACTACTCTGGTTGCCAGAAGAAGTTTGATTGTTTAATCTTTATTATAACATTACCCTGTTATTCAAGTAAACACTTTACTAATGGGTTTATGGTTTTAACCACTAGTTTTATGTCTTGCTTAATACAAGATAGTGTTTATTTTGTATATAATGGTCAGATTTAGAGTAAAACAGATGGTAAAATAGGGTGATGTCAAAAATGCAGAGGCGGAAGTCAATAAACTAGTGGGTTGGATACATCCATATTTTATAAACAGTCTATGTTTGTATTAAGTGTATTTTTAAACTATGAAACTTTTCATGATAAATGTTTTCAAACTCTGTTTTATAAGGTGAATGTGAAAACCAAGCATCTTAAAAAAGAAAAGTAAAAGAAAAGACACTTTTTTCATCACCAAAATTTTGTTTGGTTTTTAAAAGCTTCATTAAGCTTAATTTTATCAATACATAAAAAAAACACGTAATGTTTGTAAAACTTAAAATGACTGAATATAGTGAAGCAAGGTTTTCTTTGGACTGCAACTTTATGATCTGTATTAAAGATATACCCTGATATTGCTTCAGTGTTCATGTTAATAAAATGTATACCATTGGCACTTGGGATGTCAATTCTTCATTTCTCATCAGCTAGTTAGAAGTCAGTAACTTCAGTATATACAGCTGTGGTCAAAACTTTACATATACTCCTCACAGTCATCAATGTTATTGTAATTTGACTTTATTTCCAGGGTGTATAGATTTTATCTTCTTATCTCTCAATTTTGCCTAAATAAAAATGATTTCCTTGATAACAATCATAGAACTGACCAACCAAGGACAAAATTCTGGAATGGCTTTCCCAATTCCCCAACATCAACCCTATTGAAAATGCTTGTACTATGCTTAAAAGCTCGGTTCATACCAGGAAATGAATCCATTTAAATGAACTCTACCAATTCTACCAAAATGACTGGTCAAATAGCTTGTTGATGGTTACCAAAGCATGCACTGTGAAAGGGTAGCAGATTTAGAGAAAATCCAAAATAAATGTAAATTTGTGCACAGAGCTTTTATTTACAAGAACATTAAATATGCTGTCTGAGCCCCATATTACCATGACATCCATGCCTGTGAGGAGTATATGTAAACTTCTGATCACTTTATGAAGGTAACTACAACTATATTTGCCTTTTCTCCTAAAATGACTTTTTTCTAAAAATGTCACCAACGTGTCTTTTTAACATGGCATTAATTCAAAACAAAAGACCAGCTCAACTTTTCAGTGTTTTACTTTTGTCTCCTGCACGGATTCGTGTTCTGAAATAGAAATGAGAAAATGCAAATAGACATTCTTTGCTACACATCGGCAGGTTCAATGTGCTGCGGTATTGCCCAGCTAAGCAATTCCTGAAAGTTCTTTACACTGTGACACTAAGGAAGGTGCTACGATGCAATACCTCCAGCACTGGCACCAGTCATGATTTCTGGTGTTACTTACAGTACAGCATTGCTTTATTTTCTGTATTTCCATGCATGGACATGCTAGTCCACGCGATTTGTAAATTTGCAACAGATATACTCAGATCAAAACTTTTGTGACAAAAACAGAATAATTTATAATGATAAAAATGTCTTCTTTTGCTGTCTCTCGGTGTATAAAAACAATGAGGTATTCTTACCCACTCCCACTCATGTTGAGCGTAGTTGCAAGTTTGACAAACCAGCTGACTCCTGTTGGCTCTTTTTTGCTCTCCCCCATAATCAATGTACATATCTTGCTATTTTGCTGCTGTTCTCATACTGTGATATCAACCACTGTTCTACTCACTATCTCTTCCTTGGCAGGTAGTTTACTTTTTCAGAGAAAACACCTGCTTGCTACTGAAAACAATAAGACTCACTAATAAAGATAAGTTCCACATGGTGACATAAAACTGAAGTCAAACTTACAGTATGTGGATTTACTACTAGAAGCAAACACCTCACATAAAAGCAGTGTTATGATTCATTGTTCCATGTATTCTTTAGCTATTGTATTACTTGTCATAAAACTCAAAGTAGGAGGAAAACTATGTGTGCGGATTTATAGTGTGTGAAGGTAAAATGCTGTGTTGAGTGATGTGTAACATTTCAAAATAAGCATTTTCCCGGCAATTCAGAGTATACTGATCTTGCCACTGAATCCAATAACAAAGCAAACCATTGTGATGTATAGACTTAAATCATCTTTAATTGCATGTTAATATACCGCAAAGACAGGGAGGGTTTTTAAAGCCAACTGAGGGAGATGATGGTTCATGTTGCACTCAGTTTCCACCTGTCTATCCATAAATATTTCCTCTATTTGTATTTCTTTTACTAGTATGAGCAAACACAGTGGTGAAAAGCCAGACAAGATTCACATGTCATTCATGAAGCAATGTACTGGTATGGCAGAGCCCTTTTGTGAGTTTCTTCATGAAAGGTACCCACTACTGCACTTCCATATCATCTGCTACACTCCCCAAATGCTACATTAGTTTCCCTGCAAATGTAAATCTGTCATTTTCAGTGCGCCTCATATTTATGTTTCTTGCACACGCAGCATATCTTTCGATTAAAATGTGCAACCATAAAGAAAGGGTCATAGAATACATAGAAATAAGACAAAACAAGCAAAAATGGCCATGAAAGAGGCATTTGATTTGCCTCGAGGCACAAAAACATATTTGCCCAAAGAAGCCATTCGTATTTGTATTTGAAGGGGTGTTTGTCATCGTAACAAAAAAAAAAAAGAAGAATAAAAATCCATGTCTGTTTTTTAAATTCCACCACAGAAATTTTCATTTTCATCATGACAAAAAAAAAAATTGACCTCCCACAGCAAAGTCTTTCATACACAAATTCCAGATTTTTGGGAGTAAGGGTTCAATAAGCTTTGGAACTGACATGCATGAGAAGAAGAAAAAAATCAATCATGTAATTTCTGAAAGCTGATTCAAACAAATAAATCAGCAACCGTACAATCATCATCAATCAAGGTAAAATTCATAATAGTAGAATAGTTTCTAAATTTTATTACATAACCTTCAAAAGTTCATTTCTACAATGTAGCCAGTAAATGTGTTAAATGAATCATCACAGCTCTTGATTCATTTTGAAAGCTGTAATTCCTCTCATTGTGTTATGAAATAATAACAAAAGCAATTACGGGGATAAACAGGAGCGAGGACCGATTTGTTTACAGGAAAGCTAGGATGCTACTGTGAGTAGGTCACACACACTCATCTCTGCCAACCACAACAACAGAAAGCTTTTTTTTTGTTTGTTTGTTTGTGTTTTTTGTCCAACCGCTGTCTTTTCACAGGGTGACATCCTAAGTGGAACAGGACAGACAGATGAGATAGAGATCTCCCCGCATTGGCTCTGTGATTATAAATCAACAAATCACACAGATGGAGGTCAGATGAGAACAGAGTTAACTGAACATCCATTTCACAGTACCTGGTGGGGGTTATGTATAAAAGATGAACGCATTCAGGCTATGGCGGTCGCTGACCTATTTCAGAATGACGGATGCTTGACAGGGCAATAGCAATTTGAAGAGGCTAAAGGTAGCTTGCTTGTCCTTTCTGACTCTTTGAATGTGGTATTTACAATCTAAGCTGAGGTGAAATAGAAAGAGATCAGATAATGCATTCTTTTTTCTCTCTCCCCTCCCTTCCATTCTTATTTAAAGCAGGATAGCCAGCAGCACAAACAATGCCACTAATGCCAGCTTTTGCAGTATAAGCTCCATGTAGTTTTTGCCTTTTTGAAAATGTCAAAATGAAAGGTTAGCACGGCAGAGAAAACAGTCACAAGGATCTGGAACAAAAGCTGGCAGTCGTACCGACGTAAAGAGACAGCGTCTGGATGTTTTGTGGGTGGACTCTGCCCGACATTTATCCACCAACGGAAAACACACAATGATGGCACAATGGCAAATTAAAATAAACACACATCTCGACATTTAAAAAGTGTAGCGTCCTAACAGAAATTCTCGGGTGAGTTCTTGGAACAAAAAAACATATAGCGACGACACATTTGATAACCGATGACAGCACATTGTGTTGTTTTTTTTCAGTTTTTTTTAACATCTGTACCCACTGTAGCTTTAGAGCCATTTCAGACGATGAGACATTTTCAAAATGTTGAAAAACAAGACAAAACCTTCCCTCCATCAGCTGACAAAAGGGGCAAGAATTCCTGGAAAGCCTTAATAATGTTAGACATGAAGAGTAAGAGACGAGCATCAATCAACAGAAGCATCCTGGGCTAACTTTTTTGGCTCGGCAGCAATCTATATGATTGGTCGCCTTTGGTTCTTGTCATCCTTCACTGTAGAATGATATATGGAGAGCAACAATTGGGTGAGAATGTTTTCTGAAGATAGAGAGCCACAACACAACGGAGGAGAGGATGACAAAGACAGCTTATCGGGAGAATGTCATTTTTGCTTCTTTTTTTTTTTTTTTTTTTAAATCCGGGGGAGTGGAGAAGAGAGAAGGCCCTCCATCACATAAATAAATAAGCAACAGCGCAAATGGGTAGATAACTTTTTATGAAATATCAGTTTTGCTATTCTTTTTTTTTTCTTTTTTTTGCTCCTTGAACAAGAAGCCTGAAACGACTATTTTCTCAAAGCAAAGGAGTAGTGTTTTTTCTTTTTCTTCTAGCCCTAGCATTTAGTCAAGTGCAAAGAAGTCAGTGTTTAGTGGAGGCATATGTATTTTGGCACAGAGTTTCAGTTAAGTGTCAGCTATGCGCACGTGTGCACATACAGCACAGTAGGCATGAGGCTTGGGATGATAAAGCGAACAGAAGCAGAAGATCCTTGATGTCTTTCCATCCATTACAAGAAAAATTCAAAAGATTTGAGGGATTCATGTGTTTCTGTTGTTGCTGATAAATACTGGAACTGGAAGGAATCCATCCATGAAGTGAATAGCAGTGAGTTTTCTCTAGAGTTAAAACTGACAAAAAGTTATAGAAATTTGTTAAAACTACATAATATTTCAAAATACATGTGGAATCAAGTAAAACTTTATATACGCACTATATTTCTTCTTATCTCTTTTAAAACCTTATTTTTTTAAATCTTTTTTTCCTTAAATTTATGCATATAAGTGGGATTTTTATTTTTTTCATTATAGCTTCATCTGTATGTATATATGTACAATATGTACTGTTAGATAGGAAGAGAAGTGATAGGGTTTATGTGGAAGTATGTCTTTCAGGGAGAAAAATTTGAATTCATTTATTTACACCATGCTCCGAGAGCCACTTGGGGTCCGGTGTAGACTGAGGCGGGGGTCTGGGGGTATGTACTGGTGCGGGTGGTTGTAAGGTGGAGGCGGGGGAGGCAGTGGGGGCTGGTGGCCGTCGCTGCCGTGTGAACCGTCTGGCGAGCGGACAGGGGTGGACATGGCGGAGTGACTAAGCTGATGGTGGCTGTGGTGATGGTGATGCTGGTAGTGGTGGTGTGTGGGCGTTTGGCTGAGGAAGGCCTCCATGCGTCCATGGCTGCTGTTGTCGAGCATGATGACCTTGACAATTTGCTGACACTGGATGAGTGCCTCAGGCCGCAGGTCAGCCATGCTGACACAGGGCTGGTGGTGCTGCTGGAGGGGGAGATGATGGGCGGGAGTGCTTGCCGCTGACTGCAGCTGCAGGTGCTGTGGTGGAGGCGCAGGCCCTTGGGTTACCCCCTGGGGCCCCTGCTGGAAAAGCACCTCTCCCCGGTGATTAAGAAGGGCCGCGCTCTCGGGGCTCCGAGCCATGCTGCTGCTGAGCTGGTACGTCTGAAGCCTGTTGTGAATTGACACCTAGTTTAGAAAACAGCCAAGAGAACAGCATCAAATGTTATAAAACTGGTTCCTCCTCTACAATCCGTCAAGCCCTCTTTTTCTTTTTTTGTGGGGGGAGTGAACGCACAGCACACACACACACACACACACGGGGCATGCGTGGGGGCTTAGGTGTTAAGGATCGGTGGAGGTGTAAAATTCTGTGACTACAATATTCTCCCCTCCCTCCACCCCCACAGGTACTGGGAACAGTGCTGGATGCTGGGAACACCAGTGTGTGTGACTGGCGTCATTGGTAATAGTGGTGGGGAATGGGGATAAGAACGATGCTAGAGGACGGTCCCGGTGGTTCCAAAGGGGACACTGAGGGCCCCCGTGTCTCCCTTCCAAACCACTGTGTGGCACTACGGTGACAGCGAACACGAGGAGACTTGTGGGTCGAGGTAAGCAGAACATAGACCAAGGTCATACGAAGAAGAGGGAGAGGTGGAAGAAGAGGAGGAGAGGAAGTGAGCAGAGTGACAACCACAGACGTCCACAGGCAACAATCAATTAGAATGCAAACCTCCAGATGTCCCATTTGTTTCAGCACTCTG